CAATGAATAAAAAAAATATAATCAAAGTTTTTTTATTAAACTACCTATAATAATTATACTGTTTAATGGAAAACTCTGGAAATATTCTCTTTAATAATTATTATGATGTGAATAAAAAATTGACAACTGACATACGATACAAACGAAACTTCGAAAACACAGAATCCATCGTAAATAAAAACCTAAATTGACTTATAATTTTTAGGTTACAAGTTACAACAGTTTGCGTTTTATATTGTGATGTGTCCAAATGTAATTAAAGCAATAATTTAGGCCAAATTATTGTAGAATATTTATAGAATAAGTGTATTTATAACATTCTGCAATGGCAGTTGTAATAGAAACAAGTCTTGGTGACATTACTGTAGATCTTTATGTACAACTAAGACCTCAAACATGTCGGAACTTCCTAAAATTATGCAAGATGAAATATTACAACTACAATCTATTTCATTCCATTAGAAGTGGGTTTATAGCCCAAACAGGTGATCCCACGGGTGAAGGATCCGGCGGACAATCCATTTGGGGTGTTCTAGAGGGTCCTGAGAAAAGATTTTTCTCTGGAGAAAAAATGCCTAAAATTCGACATTCTGATGTTGGCTTGCTATCTATGGTGGGCACTGATGATATGATGGTGGGTTCTCAATTCTTTTTTACTTTGGCCCCTGACTTGAACTCATTAGATGGCACACATTGTGTGATTGGTGAAGTGACTGAAGGACATGAAATTTTAACTAAGTTGAATGAAGTTATTTGTGATGAGACGCATCGACCTTACCGTGATGTGCGTATAACTCATACAGTTATCTTAGAAGATCCATTTGTTGACCCTCCTGGCTTCAGAGCTCCATCTAGATCACCATCACCAAACCCAGAGCGATTGAAAGGTGGACGTATTGCTCCTGATGAAGATATTGATGAAACTGAGGGTAAAAGTGCAGCAGAGATACAAGAAATGATTGAGGAGAAGGAAGCTAAAGCAAGAGCCACAATTCTAGAAATAGTAGGAGACTTACCAGATGCAGATATTGCCCCTCCTGAAAATGTTCTGTTTGTTTGTAAGCTCAACCCTGTCACTACAGATGATGACTTAGAAATTATATTTAGCAGATTTGGAAAAATTGTTAGCTGTGAAGTAATTCGTGATAAAAAGACTGGGAACTCTTTACAATATGCATTTATTGAATTTGATAATAAAAAGTCATGTGAAGATGCTTATTTTAAAATGGACAATGTCTTGATTGATGACAGACGCATTCATGTTGACTTTTCACAGTCAGTGTCTAAAATGAGATACTTAGGTAAAGGAAGAGGAGTTCAATATTTAAATGATGATAATAGTGAAGCAGATATAGTAAAAAAAGGTAGATCTCCAAGTAGAGATCATGAAAACAGAAGGCAGAAATTAAACAATAAAGACCATGACAGAAATGACAACCAAAGAAGTCATATTAGAAATGATAATTACCGAGATAGTAAATATAAGCGGGATAGGTCTCAGCGGAGTAGAAGTCGGTTACCTGTAGATAACCCACGAAAAGTTAACTTTCACGTAGAAAGAAAAGAAAGTAGAAGAAATCATATTAAACATGAAGATGACAAACACACAAGAACAAATAGGAATAGTCACAGAGACACCAAATACTCTCGTAGAATGTCTTCCCCTTGCAATGGTCGAAGACGGGAGAGTACCCCCTCTTATTATAGAAAAACTAATCATAAAAATTCCATTACAGATAGAAATGATAGGAAAAATAAAAACGTAGATAAATCTTGCAAGGACTCCTCATCTCATAGCCATAGAAATAGAAAACCAGAAAAAACTGAACATTCAAAAACAAACAACATAGAAAGCTATGGCAAAATTAGAGGAAAAGATGAGAAATGTAGTTCCAACCATAGAAATAAACATAGTATTGATGATGAGGACAAACAAAAAATAAAAAAAACAACATATAAAGATGAACATGAACCCAAAACACCATCTCCAGTTGTAGAAAGAAAAAAAACTAAATCTTCTAAATGTAAAGAAATAATTAAGGTGACAAAATCATCAAAAAAACGAAGAAATGTTTCAACATCATCAGATAGCTCATCAGAATCAAGTTCCAGTTCAGATTCATCCAGCTCTTCTAGTGATTCCGATAGGAAACGAAAAAGAAAAAAAAGAAAGTCCTCATCATCAAGCAGTAGCTCAAGTAGTTCATCCAGTTCAAGTTCAAGCAGTGACTCTACTAGTAGTTCAGAAAGTGAAGACAATTCTAAAATACACAAAAAAAAACGTAAATCTTCGAAGATTGTAAAAAAAACAAAAAAATAGCCTTATAATACTGTCTAAAGTACAAAATATCTAGAATCTTACTTGTTGCTATACAATTGCATTAAATTTTTCATGATACACAATTTTGCTTGGGTCTTATAGGTTAAATTATATACATTTTTCAGTGCTTTAATATAAATGCTTTATTATACAAATATAAAAATATTAGTGGAGCAAAATGTTGAAAAGTACATATTATTTATTCTAATTAAATGTACTATTTATGTAAATCTATTTTTACATAAGTTAAAGAATGTGAATGATGAAATTTCTTTACACATGTAAGGCAATAATAAAGTTTTTAGTAAAGTTTTTGTTTTATTACTTCTTTTAATTTCTTTAAAAATTCGAGGTTATCCATTTGACCTGTATGTGTGTGATACTTGTTGGACTTGGATAATTTATGATGATGATATGAAGGCTTCGAAGGATGTGTGATTAATTTGATAAATTGATGTATGTCCACAAGTTTCTCTGAAACTAAAAGACTATCCTTTTTTTAAGATTATATAATTTAAATACTAACTTAGGGATCAATACAAATTTCATCAATATCGGGTCAGTAGTTTTTTAGATATTCAGGAGAAGACATGTTTAATATACCTAAGTTCCTAGGTAGTTAATAAACTATGCCATTAAAGGTTGTTTTATTTCCAAATTTCAAGTAGGCAGTTATTGATCATAAGTCATAACCCATATTGTGTTTTATGAATAATTGACAAAAAACTAAATAGTGTTACATACATACTATTATTTTACAAGTAAAATAGTTTATATTTTTGTTTAATTGTTCGTAGGTAAGACTATATACGATCAAAATGAATCAATTCATCGCAGACACAATACCTTTATGTAAGAAACAACTTAAATGCCGTCCTACTAGCTGGCTAGGGGCTACTTTCTTACATCTGTCATACATTTTCATTTTAAGATATAATAGGTAAAAGGAAGTGATAAAGACATCAAAGTATCTGTCTGATAACAGGACGTTGTTGACTCCGTCCCGAGATTTTATTAAGTAAGCAGTCTGCCTTTGTATTCATTGTATGATAAATGAATGACTGCTATTGTTAACTTCATAGTGTGCCAGGTTATTTCAATTCCACCGTGACATACGTGCAAAATAAAATATTTGATACGATTGCAATATGAATATTAAAGTTTTGACCATGAATCGTAAGCTATTTCGATAAGGCCCTCTAAATATATGAATTCTCTAACTGTTTACCGTAGTCTGTCTAACGTTTAATGTAGTTTATTCATCTATTAAAAGAATTGTGTGTTAAGTGTATTCTTAAAACTTAGTCTAATTGCACTTTTGACTTAAGTCCAACCTACTCTTTCGTATCTTTCTCATCTTTCTGTCAAATTGTACTAGAACATCTGTAAAAAATGTGCAATAATATCGATGTAATATATAGGGAGATTTAATGTCGTATTTTCTAATAGGTAGGTATTATCTTTTGCACATAGTATTGTCTAATAAAATAAAAAATAATTAAGTAGGTATAAGTTTATAATAACACACAGCTTCAATCCGTTAAAAAGTGGTTTCTTTAAATATTATCTTTTAAGTTTTAATATAATATCAACAATAAAATTTTTTTTATTATGGAATATTAGATACAGATCACTTATTCCACGTCATTAAATCTATTATTACTTGTATAAAGAAACCAAATTCACAAAATGGAAACATTCGCATTGACATCACTGGACACTGAATCATATCTACTACGTTTGTCTTTTTTAGATTAAATTTCGTCAGAGCAAGTAAACTTATTCGTACTCCAGTAAATATATAATGGGCGTCTGATGACATAAAACGAGACAGTAAAAAATTGTTTAATGATATGTAATTTATAGGTATCTCTCGGCTTGACGCCATACTTTCATCTTATTTTTCAAGCACTGCTATTTTCAAAGGGTTTATTTTGTTGAGTACCTAGCTACCTACGTAGGTTTTACAGACGTCATAGGGTCAGGGATGTACTTACTTATCGTGAGTACTTATTAATGCGACTATAGTAAAAATGCTTATTATTGTATTGTATGTTTAATATACTTACATAAATGGAATGCTTTATATTTTAAATGTCTATTTTTTTAAACATACCTACTTGATTGAAAGTTATTTAGTAATTTCGACACTGACGAGGTACTTCGCTTATTATTTATTTATAAAATTACACTAGTCAAAGTTATAAAAAAGTCTACGACACGAAAATTCGTCCCTGTGTCCCATACCTACCACTGAATTATAAAGCCCAGCGTCCATAAAAAGAGCATCGAACTATAGAAACAAAACAGCAACACTTTAATTCACGAAGCAATATCTGCTATTCTATACTATCTATCAACATTAAGAATGATATAAAACTGTCATCTATTCAAAAATTTGTGATGAAATACAAAAGTTTCTTGACAATAATTTAAATATATCTATCACACTTCAATAGATCTACTAGTATAAATTGCGGTACTTAAAGTTTAAAAAAAATGTATATAGTCTACTAAATTAAGCGAGGTTAGTGGTCACCAGGCTTTACCGAGCCTGTATCTTTTAATGCGCATGTTCGGGCAATATCGACAGAGACGATAGCTTTTTCTCCGGTTCATGCTGCTGCCTGCCACACGTCCTCTAGAGAAGTGCGAATTAAAAAAAAATTAAAACCCGAATATGTTGATACTATCGTTTACCGCGTTTATCGCGGTAATCTCTCTAAGTGGTGCACTACCTACACCTTCGAACAAAGGTATGTTGATTTAATACGTTTTTTTAAGGTTTTTTATTTAAACAGTAGTTATAAAAATTGAATAAATTTAATTTTGCATAGATTTATTTTAAAGGGGTTTTATTTAGTTTTTATTGATCACCCGGCATGATGCCGCGCAGTTCTATATTTAGCAACAGGTGCCCTGCGCGGTTCTCTCGCGAATGCTCTATGACCTTTGTAGATTTTATTACCCTGCGTTTTAAGGGTACCAAAACCCCGGATTAAGTCTTATACCAATATATTGAGGTATGCAAGTCAAGATTTTAAATATATAACTTCGTAAATAAGGCATTATTTGTATTACGCATATTTTTTATTTTTATTACATTAGCTAAACATTTTTTCAAGATTATTATTTATTAGAAAATGGTCCCGTCGCTGAGCTGCCCGAAAATTGGGACCAAACAAAAGATGATACTCAATCTCTATTCCTGAATAAAAGCGACAAAAATGATTTGGAGCCATATCCGCTCGCCCTCAGTGAGGAAGGTAATTATGAAATAGGTACCTTTTTACCGTTAACTTTCAATAAGGTTTCAGGCTTATATAACATTCAAAATTACAGGAAACCCCGAAGGGTTCGAACAAGCCATTGATCAGAGATATGATTCCCCGGCTTCAAACGGAGAACTAGACAATCTTATCATGAGACCTGAGCTATACGGTGAACCTCCAGCTATCGAAGGTCTTTCTTCTGGATATGACTCCCGACGAAGAAAACGTGGTAGCGGAAAAGTTGGCGGCGCCGGGGCAGCTACAAAAGTAGCTACGAAATCCAATTCTGGAAAGAAAAATCTAAAGTAAGTAGGACTAATTATTTAAATATTTATTATTTTAATGCCCAATTGTTAATATTTTTTCCCACTATTTAGACCTCAAGAGGGCCTTTCACCCGTTGATGCCATAGCCGAAGATCAAGATGCTTACCGTCTCAAACGTGCAGTGTCAAAGAATACAGACACTACTTCAGCCAAGTTAACCACAAAGAAATCCGCAGAAAAGAAAAAGAATTTCCAGTACGTACCGTAACCTAATAAAATCATCTATAACGTTTCATATAGAAATTAATAATACATAATCAACGCAACATTTTTCTTATAGCCCTATTTCTGACCGCCGCAAGAGGGATTCTGGACTAAGTGCTGCAGATGTCCGAGCCCTTCTCAATATGTGGGAAGCTCAAGAACGTCGCAAGCAAGAATGGGACGCCAATCGCTGGGCTGCAGACCGTTACTATGGACACGTTAACAATCTTGATGAGGAGCAACCTGAAGTTGATGAAAACGGTGATGTTTGGTACAACGAGCCAGTTGTAGTTGGTCATGAAGGTTACCCACGTCACTCTTACTTCTCTGAACAGAATCGCATGGCATTGGCGCAGGGTTTGCCTGAACTTTACCAAGTCGATCCAAACGAAGTTGCACGTAGGTATGAAGAGGCCCGCCGCAAAAGAATGTATGCTAACAGAATGAAGCGTTTCATGGTCGCTCGTAAACGATCAGATGGTATGGCCCACCAAAACAACTATAGGTCCCGCGATGATCTCTACACTTTGGCAGAACTCCTTCGTTCTTCGCCACGTGCGCAAGCACAAGATCTGCCCGTTTACCGGCGACTTATCCTCTAAATGACATTTTATTTCTGTCAGAGAATCGTGGGATATTTATTCTGTAATTCTAAATATTATGTATAAGTGCAAACTGTACCTATCGTTAATGCATTTAATGTCAAACTTTATTACTTAGGTTTATGAAATATATTATCTACTTTAAGTAGCATAAGAAAGTTTAGACAGTGGACCTTCAGTCTGGCCTAATCAATATACTTTCCCTACCTCAGTTAGCATATCCATTGATTGATTCGTACAAATTAAATCACACAAATTCAATTATGCATCGCAAAATCAAGTTTGGGTAAGAATTTCTTAGGTATACAAATATTAGTCATTAATAGATGTGTAAATGTAAACCTACTGTATTAATAAATAGCATAATCTTATTACTGTTTTATTTACACGTCAATATTAAATCAACTTTTTTATTTATATCATAATATTACAAAACCTTTATCAAGAAATAACTAGGTATTGTTTAAAAAAGCAATAACTGTCTAGCTTACTGACAGTCTTTATGTCTTCAATAGTCTTTTAATTAACTACAAAATACAGGTGAAGAACCTAAATAAGTATATGATTATTTACATGTTACTATGAGTGATAAAAATAAATCAGTTAAAATAAGAGAAAGTATAGAAGGAAAAGCGTTAGATACAGAAGAAAGAATTGAAAGGCTGCAAGATGGCGAAGCCTCGGCGAGTACAACGTATGAATTGTTTTTATGGTTAATTAGCTATTCTAAAACATTCATTGGTCGAGTAGGCAAAGACTTTTTTGTTTCGTTTATCCGGTGTTTTTGCCCGACGTTTCCACTGCCACATCATATCACGGAACTCATAGCAGCGCAAAAAGAGTTTAATACAATACGCGAACAACATTGACCAGCTTATAATAGACTTAACCCAAAAATATACATTGATGAAGAATCAAACTATAACAAACGCCGATTTTAAAAGTGTTTGTGTTCTTTCCAGTGTTTATAATCCCAATGCATATTCATCAAATAGAAATCGTGTCGAATTCGAAATTGTTGAGAAAGAACCAATTTTCGTTATTGTCGACTCAAGTTGTGAGAGCAATCCCAGCTCAAGAGAAATTTTAATAAATAACAACAAAGGATGTACAAAAGAAACCGATGTACCAACATATTTGAGGAAGCATGTATTTCCCATTGATTTACCATCAACAAGCAAAGAAATAAGAGAAGGGTCTCGGTCTATGTCCAATGAAGCAGAGTCCAAAGAAGAATTACAAGTGATGGATATAAATCTGCAAAGTGATAGTGAACTTCCTGTACAAAACTTCGACAATGAAGATCAATCTATAGTCGTTACTTACCTTAAAAATAAGGATAAAGTGAATCGCAGAGATGGCGTCTTATTGTCGTCAAAAAAGAGGTCTTCTCTACTAAATGATGTCCCAAAACTAGAAACCATACCAGAAAGCGACCAAGTCTCTACTGTTATCGATCCATCAATAAGTGATCAGTTATTGATAAATTATGACAATAATTCTAATTCAATTCTGTAAACTATTAAAAACCTGAAATAAAATGTTCATTTTAAAACGTTTTATTTATTCGTTTGTAGCAAATTTTAATTATAATGTATTGAGCAAATTAAGAAAGTCTTTTATCATTTAATTCAGAAATATCGGAAAGTTCTCTGGACGTATACATCCCCTCATTTCCTGGTTCACCACGATCCCTTGATTATGCGTCTGAACCCTCCAATGATTCCGAATTTGAAGAATACCAGCACGATCCTCGGTTAAAAGAAGCTATAGAGTTCCTTCACGCAGACAAGGACCTACTCATCGCTGCCGAAACTGGCAATGATCAACATATCGAAATGATTCTAAGGTGGTTTACTTTTTTTAATGGTTTAAATTTCATAATATAATTTAATGCAACTAATAACGCAAGTTGTGTCCCTTTTCAATCCCCGACATTATGAAATCCTATGTAAGAAGACCTACATAAATAAAGTATTGTGCGCCCCAAATACAAATTACATTCGACTGTCTTTTCGTAAATTACCTACTTGATAGGTAACAGTATGTAATTTTATTTTTAATAATCATCATGTAAGCTTGATTTATGGGGTTTATCAAATTTCGATTTGACATAAATGGTTGTAGATAGAAATGTTAAAGCATATTATATTTAAGGAGGTCAGATATACCTGTCCAACAAATGGACCACCTGGGGAGAAATGCACTGCACCTTGCAGTTTGTTCCGATAATCTGAGAGGTATAGAATTATTGCTGAAAGGTGGAGTTAGCCCCAATGTTAAAGATAGCGTCGGAATGACTCCGCTATCGTTGTGTTTGATGCGCAGGTAAAACCGACTACAGTTATTTTTCCTAGTTTTATAACTGTTAAATGCTGTTTAATGTAGTTATATAATAATAAGTTTTACAATTAGTCTGTGTTGCTACTTCTACAGTCTGAGCGGAAAGAGAGAGAGAACTCAGGTTTTAACAATGCCTTATTTTTTTGTAATGTTGACATGACTGTGGTCATTATAGTTCATCACTAATCATCTTGATACTGGGGGCTTAGTCAAGAAGCCTTAATCTAGTGTATGTATAAAGTCAAAAACAAATTTAGTATTCAACTTTCTATATACACTACTGTTAACGCATCTTGACTACGCCCCCATGTCTGGTGTACCTGTACTTAATTACACATTTTAGTAAAAGTAACAGACAGAACAACTTATACTCAAAACTTGTTGTTATTTCATATATTTGTATCTATCAATACAATTTGCTCAAAATGTACCTAAGTGTCGTGATAGAGGTTCGGGATTTATTAATTTAAATCAAGGAATAGCGTCTTATCCAAATTTAGATGAAGCAGTTATGGTGTACATCTTATTTATTTCAGCAACAAATTATTCAAACCAATTGCAGTAGGTTTTACTCATTTTCCTCTGTACTCATTTTCTTATAATACTTGGTTTGTTTTTACAGACCGTCGTTGACTGTGGCCAAGCTACTTTTTGATTATGGGGCTAAACTTATGCCACGAACGGATCCTATGGATACGGGACTATTTATTCGTAAGCCAAAAATGATTTTAGTTACAGCATTATGTAGTATGGTAATGGAGTAATAGGTATCTAGTATACCTGACGGACAAATACTGTGAGTTCTACTAATCTAATTGTCTCATAAAAGCCACGGTGATGTGCCATCGCATTTGGTCGTATTAATAAGTCTGTACTTAGCTATGGCCATAATATGACGTAGCGCTACTTAATTAATAGTTTATCGAGGTACTCGTGTTTTATCTTTTGATAAAAGAGCAAATTCCACGAAATTTTCGTAATAATTACAAAGTTACTGCAAGTAATTACATTAGATTCCTGCGCACTTCATCCCAAATTGACTAACAAAAAAACTGTTTTGAGAGATTGAACAAAAAAAGGAGGAAAAAATAATTTCAAATCTTTACTTATTAAAATTACAATATTTTTAGAATTCGTTATGATGTCAACACCGACAAATGAAGAAGAGAACATTATGGAGCTTCTTATACAAAAAGGTGCTCTTGTTAACGATCCCGATGCACCAGGAGGCCGGCAGCCTCTGCACTTTGCAGCAATGAGCAACAACTGTACTCTTATACGAATTCTCGTGAACTTAGGAGCAAGCTTGTATTTGACTAATCACAGAAATGAAACGCCAAAACAAGTGGCAGCTACGTTTGACTGTAGAGATGCTTATGATCTTTTGAATAAACTCGAATCAGAAGATATGCTGCCTATGCAATCAAGAGGACGACAGACAAGTCTATTTTAAATGATAATTTTCTAGCATAAGATCAGTCCCTGTGACTCGAAGCGGCAAAAACCCGTATTACGGCATGTAACTTATTTCAAAAATGGTGCAGTTTTCTGTGTTTTAATAATAAAGAAACTTTCTGTTAAGATTGTTAGCTCCATAGTAGAAAATAATTATACTATTGAATTTTAATTTATTATTGATAATTTTACTATAAATTGAATGTTTAGTGGGATTTCAGTGACCTGGCGACACCAATAATAGTAGCAGAGAATATAGCATCACTCATATTATAATATTATTAGGAAACACAAAAGATTAGAACGTGTAGGTACTTCAGACTTTTAAAATCTACTGAGGTTAGGTTAGTAACAAGTCCGTTCCGCACGAAGTCTCGAAATAAAAGTGAGTCAACGCCGGTGTTGCCACGCTTTATATAGGTTTCTGCTACAAAATGGCGTTAGTCCGCTAACACGGCCTCTCCTGACACCCTGACGTCCTCGTCAGGATTTGATGTCCCAGCGTCTATACTGTCATCTCTGTGGGTAGAATAGAACGTTAGAACATTACAGTTCTGGGAAGGTATTGCGTCGTCTATTTGGTCAGCAGCTGAACATATTTACTTGTTTTAATACAAACAATCAAAGTAATGAAAGATAGAAAGGAACTTTAAAGTATCAGACTCCAAGGAATGAGTGAAAGATTATTTATAACCCTTACAAGATTTGAAACAAACTATCACTTTCATGTGTAAAGGCCTTGTGTAAACAATTACAAGTTTAGTATCACCATAAGAGTAGATATAAGGTATAAAGGTCTACTTATTTCTTAAGAAGATCGTGAGTTTGGGGCTGGTTACCCTGTCCATTGATCTTTACCATTCATAAAGGAAGATCGTGAGTTTGAGGCTGGTCACCCTGTCCATTGATCTTTTTACAATTCATACAGGAAGATCATGAGTTTGGGGCTAGTTACCCTGTCCATTGATCTTTTACCATTAATACAGGAAGATCGTGAGTTTGGGGCTGGTTACCCTGTCCATTGATCTTGTTACCATTTATACAGGAAGATCGTGCGTTTGGGACTGGTTACCCTGTCCATTGATCTTTTACCATTTATACAGGAAGATCATGAGTTTGGGGCTGGTTACCCTGTCCATTGATCTTTCAAAAAGCAAATATTACAGAATTAAATAGCTTCAGACTTAACACAAATAAAGATAAAACTCAGTATATTTGCAATACACCGTCGTATCGACAGTGGCTCCTAGTGCTCTCATAAGCGACATTTTTTTAAAACAGAGACTCATACATTTTGCATGTTCTCTAAGTGGTCTAAACACATTAGCACCAGAAAAACTTAAAACAGAGACCCATACACTTGTATGTTCTCAAAGTGGTCTAAACACATTAGCACCACAAAAATTTAAAACAGAAACCCATGTTTGCATGTTCTTAATAACAAAGACCAGATCATCCTTCTGGAATTTACAAGGGGGGTCTACGACCCACATTAACGACAGTGTCCTGATTGATTTGACTATTCTTCAACCGTTCGGCCGTCCTCTGTCAAAGCATCTCTCGTCTACCTTGCTGACTAGACGATCCCGAATTTAATGCGACACTGTTGCACTCACAAACACAAACAACATTTTAACACAAAGAGCACTTTTAAAATGTTAATCACTTGTGACTTCGTACATTACGGACACAAAGAGAAGGAAAATTTAAACCACAAAGATTACTCAAAACAAAAGAGAAGTGAGCGAAAAGTTCAAATCCCAATTCTGATATTAGGAAACACAAAAGATTAGAACGTGTAGGTACTTCAGACTTTTAAAATCTACTGAGGTTAGGTTAGTAACAAGTCCATTCCGCACGAAGTCTCGAAATAAAAGTGAGTCAACGCCGGTGTTGCCACGCTTTATATAGGTTTCTGCTACAAAATGGCGTTAGTCCGCTAACAATATAATCTCTCAAAATTGATTCTTCCTTGCTTGCCTTGTTATGCCAACGTAAATATTCCCCTGCCCTGCCCAGTGGTATTATGTACTGGCAATGAGAGAGAAATGTGTTTATAGTCGGCTTGCCGAATTCGTCGGCTAGGAGAATTTGCCTGAGTTACTTATTAGTTATTACTTTGTGTAACATTCGTGATTAGTAATACCAAAGTAATATTTATATTTTAATTGACCAGCCAAATCGCAAGCGGGAGAATCAAATCTATGCCATAGAGAAGCACACTCAATGACATTGACACAAATATAACATTTCTCTTTAAATTGAGAATCTGTAATTTGTGTTAATTATTACTCTATTATCTATAGTATTAAAGATGGCGTCCTTGTCGCAGTTGCTATTCTTTACTAAACAATAATGAGAAAATAGATTTTTTCAACTATTTTTATCACTTCTACTTAAAAATTCAATCAAAATCTTGGGGAAACCTATTACCTTCACCAGTTATTTATTTTGATAATGTGATAGTAAGTGAACCGATGGCTTCAAATGTGCAAGGCTCTTCTTTCACTCAACAAACATTTGTTGAGGAAATTGATTACAATGAGATTCAGGAATTACAGGTATTTATTTACAAACTTGTTTTTAATTTCAATAGTTCAAAATGTTAAGATGTTCTTTTGTAATTAGGTGGTAGGTAAAGGAGCTTTTGGTGTGGTATGGAAGGGTCTTTGGAGGAATACATTTGTTGCTGTAAAGCACATTAATTCGGAGGCAGAAAAACGGCAATTTGCAATTGAAGTGCGACAATTGTCTCGAGTTTCTCATCCTAATATTGTACAGTTGTATGGAGCATGTACACAAGGTGCGCATGTATGTCTTGTTATGGAGTATGCTGAAGGTGGCTCTTTATACAATGTTCTTCATGTCCGGCCAAAACCTAAATATACTGCTGCTCATGCTATGAGTTGGGCAAGACAGTGCTCAGAGGTAATTAATGCTTATTGAAAGTTTCAATATTTTGTTATTTTGTTACATGTTATCTAATTAATAAAATCCCAGGTATTGAGGTGTATTATTCATTCCTGTTATTAATTACAATTCAAATTTTCCAGGGTGTGGCATATCTACATGCTATGAAGCCAAAGCCACTTATTCACAGGGATCTTAAACCTCCAAACCTACTTTTAGTTGCAGGAGGAAAGAAATTGAAAATTTGTGATTTTGGCACTGCTGCTGATAAGGCCACATACATGACTAATAATCAAGGTAGTGCTGCTTGGATGGCCCCAGAGGTAAAATATTTTCTAAATTGTAATTTAGCTTTATACACTAACTTGAGCTTACAAATCTTCTAAGTTTTTATTGTTGTTTATTATTTTGGTATAGAAATAGATTGAATTGTGAAAATGATATGTCATCTAATTTTGATTTATTTACTGATCTGCAGTAGCTTAAAACATTATTGTAATAGTTCATCCAAAGTGCTGTATAAAATAACGAAAATTGTTACTTACCAATTCTCAACATAATTTTCATAAAATTAAGGATTTGTTTTCTGTTAACTTATGTCTGATTTTTGTTTGTTTATACCTACTATAGACCATCCACACAGTGCAATATGCTTAAATCTGTTTGAGAAGTAGTGTTGAGGTGTAATAAAAAATTACAGGGAGTGTTTTTTTGTAGTGATAATGAAAAGTAGAAACTATTGTGTTATTGTCTTAATGTATAATGCCTTATAGATACAAGTCTACTATTCTATCTAATAATAAGTAATCTATCGATTTCAGGTATTTGAAGGCTCTTCTTACACAGAGAAATGTGATGTGTTTTCATGGGGAATTATTTTATGGGAAGTTTTATCCAGAAGAAAACCATTTGAAGAAGGAGGTACAGCATATAGGATAATGTGGGCAGTTCATACAGGTAAAAGTCTTACTTAAATAAAATTGATAACCTTAAAACGGTATTATTTTGATATATTTCTAACCTTCTCGACTCATTATGGTTGGAAATTATTCTTATATGTTTGGTTCATAAATTTTACTGAAATCCTGTTATAGAAACATCCCTGAGACCATTAAGTGTTTGTTTTTCATTATTTAATATCTGGCATGGACTAAGCTAAACGACAAACAGAAATTGTAGTTTGATTTGTGACAATTTTACACACAAGAGTTCTTATTTTTTTTATGATCTTTCAGGGGAGCGGCCTAATTTAATAGAAGGGTGTCCAGAACCCATAGAGCAATTAATGACTCAGTGTTGGCATAAAGTTCCTTCAGAGAGACCCAGCATGGCCAAGGTTTGCAACGTTTCTGGCTAGACTTAATGAAAGTAAAGAAGAAGCCTATTTAAGCAAACAAAAAATTTTCATAACTTATATCATCAGCTAAAAAAAGATGATATGCTAGTGCCCCTTCGTGAGATACTAAATTTGCATATACCAAATGTTCTTATATTATTTAATTCATAAATTCATGCTGTTTATCTCAGTAATTAGAATATGTGCTGTCACCTATTGTACAAATAGGTTATGTAAATCACTGAGGAATATTCGAGAAATAATAAAAATACCCATTCCCATCGTGCTGGTCATAGGCTTACTTCTTCATTTACAGTAGAACCTCGATAAGCTAAATTCCAAGGGAAACACAAAATATTTTAAGTTATAGAGGTTTTAAGTTATCAAGGTTCTATGTTAGGTAAAGGTTATTAATGTATGTTATGTTTCTTGTACCCTTGCTCCCATTTTACTCGAATGCATCAGAAGGATGGGTTCAAAAATACTGATTAAATATTAAATATTTATTCACATTATTCCAGGACAGATCAAAAACTTATATGAATAAGTCGTTGTCACAAAGCTAACCCCCCAAAGCTTTGAAGAATTTAGATAAACAAACAATAGGTATGTATTGTTTACGTTACAATACATTAGTAAACGCGTGCAAATAAATCCAAACTTTGTTTGACACTCTTTCAAAATACTCACCAAACAATTTTTGTTAGAGGTTGTGGAAAATTTCTTTTAGTTACTGAGGGCCTATACAGGGATTATTTATTTAAGTTATAGAGGTTGCGTATTTTAAGTATAGAGGTTTGGGCTCTGATGGGAAGGGAACATAGTTTTTTGAAGTAACAGAGGTTTTTATGTTACCGAGGTTTAAGTTATCGAGGTTCTACTGTATATTAAATTAATGATTCATTGGATATTTTTAAAGAATTTTTAGTTTTTTTAGGTTGTTGAGATTATGAAAGCACTATGCGAATTCTTTCCCGGCGCTGATACTCCAATCAACTATGATGACCTCGAAGCAGACGAGGAGGAATACTCTGACGACTACATGATCTATGACAGTCGGGAGAGCTATGACACGGACACTGAAAACATGACACAAGCCCACAATCCCATATTTTCAAATGAATCAAATTCAATAAGAAATACGGGGAAACTCTCCCCTCGGCCTAGAAGCTTTGTAGAGAGCCAAGTGAATAGATTACAGGTGTTAATGGAACCAAAACCCACAGTGTCCGATTTGAAACCAAAAAGGCTAGAGTTGTTGGAACCGGGACGACTGGCAAAACTAAACTCGCCCGGATCGGAGCGGTGTCTGCCCAGCGAAGGAAGTACTCCTCAAGATACATTAAGAGTGTTTCGGAGTCCCAATATTTTTAGTGAATCATCTACGCCTCGTGGGCCATCGCCCATCGTGAATTATAATATTGGGAATATGAATCCGAGGCATATTGACATTGAGCAGTATTGGAATAGGGAGAATGATAAGTCTCCAGCGAGGACACCCTCAACTCTTAGCACAAATTCGTCCCGTAAAGAGGATTATAACCAGAATTACTGTGATAAATTGAGTGCGGCAAACAGTCCTATGACCCCGATAAGGGAATACAACGGGAATGTGGGTGATACGAGATATCAGACACCATTGCAAATTGATGTTGATCCTGTAAGTTTTCTTTCTATTGGCTTGTTAGCTTTCATTAGTTGGTAAATTTACGTGATAAAAATGCGAGTGATAGTTAGTGAGCATTATCACAACAACTTTATCCATGTTCAAACATTGCCATGTGTTGTAGGCAAAATGAAAATAGTCCGAATGCCTAGTAACTGTATGATTACAATTGAAAATGATTAGAGAAATCATTTTCAGTAACAAAATATTCGAGTCCCTTGCATACAAACAGAAGTTTTCCAAAGTAATCAAACCCAAGACGCTTATAGCGTATTCTGGATCTTGTAAGTTTGATCTGTCTTAAAATCTCAATGTCTTCCAGCCAGAATTGTTTCAGTTTATAGACATTTTTAAAGAGATAAGGGCAAGGGAAATGAAAAATTCTTAATTTTTTCCCAACAAATTTTTTTTTTCCTCCCCAAGTTGGGTTTTTCCTTTTTTTTTTCCCCCCCCCCCCCCCCCCCAAAAAAAAAGAAAAAAAAAAAAAAAAAAAAAAAAAAAAAAAAAAAAAAACCCAAAAAAAACCGCGGCCCCCCGGCGCCTATAATTTTTTTTTAATTAACAACCCCCCCCCCCCCCCCCCCCCCCCCCCCCCCCCCCCCCCCCCCCCCCCCCCCCCCCCCTCTTTTTTTTTTTTTTTTTTTTTTTTTTTTTTTTTTTTTTTTTTTTTTTTTCTTCTTTTTTTTTTTTTTTGTGGGGGTTTTTTTTTTTTTTCCCCCCCCCCCCCCCCCCCCCCCCCCCCCAAAATACTTAATTCAGAATGATTAGTACACAACATTATAATAATAATAGTTTATAACATTTCAGAACTCTTGGGAATTGCGTGAAGGACTTCAAGATATTGACGGCTACATTGAAGTGAGACATACAGGCGGACTTGACAAGTTTATGCCGATTGGTAAGTTTAATAATAATTAATTAAACTTAATTTTAACAGCTGTTAAAATTAAGCTGTTAACATTAATGATTGATAAACGTGAGCTTGTCCTGACATCGCAAGGCTGTATGTTAATAATAATTTGGGAATAATAAATCAGATGAAAGAACATTTGAATCAGATTTTTAAATTCATTACAAATGTATCCTCTTTATAATTTTAGTAATGTTCAAGTAACGCAATTTTTGGAGATTATTGAAAACCCCCCATGTAACGCGCCGTAACGTTTTTCTGTACCCAAGTATAGTAAAACGTTTCATGACCACCTAGTGACTCTTTATATCTAAAAGTTACCATTATGTGGTGTAAAGTACTGGAAAGTCGAAAATAATATTAACAATACCGCGTAATTCAATCCCCGCCCCGTATCGTAACGTTTTACAAAAGGATTTTACTTATTTTTATTAAATATCATTATCATCATTTAATATAATTAATTCAGCTTTCTTCCTAACTAGTATCATTCCCACTATGAAATTGCTAGTATACTTAAGATATACTTAAGCTATTTTTTGGAAATAAAAAAAAAATTTATTTAAAAAAATATAAAAACCCCCCCCCCCCCCCCCAAACCCAAAAAAAAAAAAAAAAAAAAAAAAAAAAAAAAAAAACACTTTAAGCTATTTTGGAATTTATTGAAAAAAATTAATTGGTTTACCCATTAGAGTTTCCCGTTTAAAAAGTTCTCTCTTATTCGATCTATTAGAAATTACCCCTAAGATAAGTAATATAGTTCGAAATATTACTTCCTTCCTTCATTGTTTCGTATTGGCTAGCACAATAAGCCCATGAGAAAATATTATCAACTGACGGAGAAATTAGTGTCTCGTTGGCTATTATATTATGGGAATGCTATTTGAAGAATAGATTTACAATAAATTGATTCCCTTACAGAATTTGTATTCTTCCCTACATAAGCAATACGTTGTTGAAAACTAATTTCAACTTTTGATGAATGTTTTTAAATTAAGTCAGAATTAACAACACTGTTATTTAGAATGTATATTTTACTCTTTTGAACTTAAACATTTCGAAAATATTTACATAAACATAGATATCAGTTCAACACGACGTTTTAAATGACTAATTGGCTACATTAATTTCATTATAAATATTTAGGAACCTTGAAACTATTTGATAACGAAACATCTGTAAACTATGAAACCTCTTAGATGAATCAAGTTCATGCGCAGTAAACATTTGTAAGCGATGAATACTGTATGAGCAATGGTATCGAAATAATCCTGGGACAGGACTTGTCTGAATCACTTATCCAAATTGTCTTTTGTTTCTAAAGATTATTTGTTTCTTTTTTAAAGCAAGCCAAAGGTGCGTATATTTATATCTTAGATCTGCTGACTTGTATTGAATTAATTACCTTGTAAAAGACATTGCCTGCCTCTAGCTTCAGTAAGGCTTGAAAAATGTTCTATAGGTGACGTAGTAGGTAGACTTGTCTTCTCTACCTTTGAGTAGATTTTGACGTCAAATTTTGTATTTGTAATACCTAGGTGCCTAGTAGCATAACGTAAATAAAACTGCTTTCTCAGAAGCCGAGGCCTAAATGTAGTTTTATTACTAAAAGAACTCTTAGCCCGCTTCTTAGAAGCGCGGCACAAACAACGTTGCCATTTGACATGATACGTTTGCAAATTGTTTGGGAGTTACTCATTACGGTACAGTCGATAACAATTGTGTTATTATATTTTTTGTTTCACAAATTAAATAGCATTAATTATATGGTACTATGATTTTTCCTTATTAGATAGTGACAGAAAACTTGATTTAAAATAATTTTTCTTATTACAATTAAAACAACTTAAAAGGTATAAATAATAGAAATATATAGTTCATAGTAAATAACTTTGTTGTCTAAATCAGATAAATGAAGCAATAAAATGATCTATCGCTAAGCCTACAGCATTCTAGTCATTTAAAGCGTTATAGGGCTGCAAAGTACCTACTAGTACACCCCATCTCCACGTCAAATAAATGTCTAAAAACATCTTTCTTTCATTTTATATTCGAAAAATTTGTATAAAATAAAATATATAGAACGATGCACATGAAGTAGCTAAATTATTTATAATCAGTATCGTCAAATGACCTATTTGATCATCGGTTGCGAACCTTTTATTGTGTGCTAAAAATCTAAATTCGTATAACCTATTTAACTTCAAGGTTTCACCTAAATTACAAATGTTTATTTCAACCAGCTAGTATAATAGAAAATAAAATCTCACCTTGCGGTATATTTGTACCAAAAATATTAATTCAACAATTCGCAATTATGATTTTGGTATTAAAATATGTACATCGTTTACAGGCGGAACATATTTAAACCTTATGGTTCTTAAAATTATACATAATGAAAAATCTGTATTATAACATTTTTAACATGTTTAGTAGGCTATACGCCCTCCTTTTCAGTATATTGATTACCTAAGTGAATATCACGAATCTAAATTATAGTTCTAGCAGCGACATAGTTTAGTCCAGATGCGTTTCAGGACGGTCCCGATATGAGTCACCGTTCTCGGAAGAGGCCGTTACTATTTTAGACTGTGTCCGCTTACCTTCTAGGAACCGCGAGGGACCAACGACCGATCTAAAGTATTGTTAGATCTTGAACGGGGTTGTTGGTACCGTTTTATTCCCGCTAGTATTATGTCCACTTCCAGGAAGTCTCGGTTCAATTAATCAACATTTATATAATGATTCACAATACATCACACCTCTAATTATGCATGCGGAACTGATTATGAAATTGAAGTGGAAAATACGATAAACAAATACGAATCTTTAGGACTTAAAAAAAATATCTTGCAATAATTATACTGTTTTAACTATGCTTGATAGGTGTAGGGTCTATTTAAAATAACAAAAAATATTCCTTGTCGTGGCTAAAACCGTATTTTTGCTTGATGAGGCGATTCGAAATTCCATGATTTGCGTGATGAAAGCATTTCCTGTCTAGTTAATATTGACAGGCGTCCGCGCAAATAGCTAGACTGTTTATTTTTTGCTTCCGGTTAGTCAAGAAAATTTTGTCTGTATTTTAGTCAATTTTGACGGTGAGTATTTACTTGTCACAGTGCAATCATTCAAAATTTGTGACATGAAACAAAGATCATTTAAACAAATATTGAAATTTAAAATATTTCGTTTCTCTTCAAAAACTTGTACCTTGAATCCTAATTTCAAACCAGGCAGAATTTCTTGTTAAGTATCAACGATAACATATACCACGTTATGAACACTATGGGATCTCAAAAACCTGAAAACTATTAAGTCTCTGACTTTTGAAAATACTAGACAGACTATTTTGTAAGTGGCGATCCTATGGCGCGTGCCCTGCTGAGTCAGCGCCCACGTCAATGCGGTAAGAGCAATATCGCGGTAAAGTAAATAAGTCGTAATATTTTCATGGGTGCCGCCGCGGCGGGCTTCTTGCCCGTTATGCGCTACTCAAATAAACAAAAGTGTTGATTTTTATACAGTAACGTCCGCCTGAGAACCAGCTAGCTCTATCGTTTCTTGAAAACTATTATACAAATTTATGGCTACAGTTTAATGAATAGCTTAAAATGCCATTCAGGCTTCTTTGATTTTTCTTAATCGTTTTGGGATCACTCGCTATTTGTAATAAAATCTTTACTATCTGTAAAATTATATCTTTTCTCTTGAAAGTCCTCCTCATACCCAAAGTTTTGGCAGCACTTAAACAGTGTATGAAGGAGGAATAAAGAACCTAATTGTTTTGTTTAGTCATTGAAGGAACTACAACATTGACACACCTGTGTCGTGACTATTAGCTTTTATTTTAAACAATTGTAGTTTGCAAAGTGCGAATCTTAATCTACGACCGTTATATTGAGCCTACACATTTGTCGGATGTCAACAGAGACACGCATGAATCAGCTCGCTACAATTAATCTAATTTAAGGTTATCGGGAAGGCATGGGTTGGGACGACGCACAGTCTCGCGCCGCCGTTGAATGCCGGCGCATCGCTGCACTGATGCAACTTTGTCATACGTTCCATCGTATACGCACGCAACCGTGCACGTACATATACCAGTGAGATGCCGCAAACGGATTGTTCCGTACAAGTTTCGATAACTGTAAAAGAGATTTCTAATAAGTTGGAAGTGTTTGTTGACGTTTTCATGAGTGAGTAATTTTGTATTGGATATGCCGATTGATTTTACTTGTATTGAATGATATCAGATTTATTAATACTTCAGTTACAATGTAAGTTGCTAAGTTGTTGATTCACAGTACAATTTAGCAACGAAGGAAATAAGATTTAGGACTTTATCAATAAAACTGAATGACCCTTACACCTTTTTACTAAAAAACTTATTCTTCTCTTCTTGTTTACGCTATAATGAAAAGAAGATAATGCTTTAGCTAAAAGAAACTGGTTCATGTTTCAATAGGAAAACTCATAGATTAATTTGATATATGTGGTCATGGCTGTATATTGTAAATCAAAAAATAACGTAACTAAATTTGCAGTAAAATTATACTTAATTATAGAAGTAAAAAATAAGTTTTATTTCTTATATACAAAGTGACATGGTGATTTTATATATAAAAATTACTTTATTTTATTATTCTACTTAGCTGCTCGCGGAATCTAGAACCTCTAACCTATTTGCTTTGCATCTACCTTGAAGAGTTGAGCTTCGGAAAATTAATCACTAAACAATTATAAAACCCCTGAAGCAATGTAATTTGTTAAATAAATATAGTAAATAATAGTATTATGACAAATCACTCCACTTGCCCACATCTATCAAATCATAACCAAAATAAAAAGCACGCGTCACATAAATGTATAAATTATCAAACACTGGGATCATTGGCTGATGGCAATGCCAAATCTTTCGGCAAACGTCCGTGCAGCGACGATAGAACTTTTCGTTAAGACCGTGAATCATGGCTAATTATTTTGCGAGTGAGCTTTTAGTTGCAAATAGGCTGTATGTCCATTGTCATTCTAAATGCCTAGAAAATTTATGCCGGACCAGCTGTTTGTACTTTGATGTTAAATACATTACGATTGTTTACAGTTTACGGCCCTTTGTTGATTACAAATGAATTATGTTTGTTGACACTGAAAATAAGTTTGAATAATGAACGTTAATACCCTTTGAATTTTATCGCTCTCGTGAAAAATATTTCGGCCTAATAAATGTGGAGTAGTGAGACATTTTGCAGACGGCGCTTAACGGTGATTCAGAGAATACAATTGCCTTTATAGCATCGATGTTGTGCGCAAGCGTTGGCATCGTGCGTTATGACTAAGCCGCTCTAGATATAATCAAAATATATGACATCTGTTATTTCTATTCAGGTACCTAGTGCGTGTTGACATTCGGTAAACCTATGGTTTGCGAAAATTTAGGCAATATTAAAGGTCGTTCGTTCGTTTGAAGCACTCACTCACTCATTCCGCTGGCTTTGCGACCAAAAAGTGTAAAAAAAACCTATAAATGAGAATCTTCTAGCGCTTCCTGTCCTGTGCCGCCTCCCGCCAATTGCATAGTTCAAAGCAACCATTTAATATTACAATAATTTTAAAGTAATCGTAGTAATATCTGTATGAAATTTTCCTGCAAACACTGGTTTGAAAGTTGCAGGTAGGCGGTGATTAGTATCAGAGTGCCTGCTCAAAACCTGCTCGTTTGCCTTAACTCATATTAGACATCGGGAACAAGCCCTCTCGATATAATCTAGTAGCATCTGGGTTTTTTTGACAACGTAAGTAGGTCGGGGTCTGCGCCTGCGTCACACCGCTGGCCGCGGATCATCATCGCTTGTTTACGTAAAAGTCGTTACGCTTCTCTTACCGTGATGGCCCTTAGAAATAATGTTTTACTTTAATTTCTAACTAGAATATAGTAGTCCCATTATGTAAAAAAAAATACATAATGTCGTCTGACGATAATTGCTAAATTATTGTAGCATTTATGATACATGCTTTCTACATTTATATACACTTTGAAGCTTTAAATAAAATGAATATTCCATAGCAACATTTCATTAAAGAAATTTTGATGTCATCCAACAAAATGCTAAATTAATGATTGATTGGACGCAGATAACGAAAAGTCCATTTAACATTTAAAAATCACATGACTCCAGATTATTTCTGCGCGTATTTAAAAAAAAATAATACTGAGAAGTAGTCTCATTGCATTTAAATAATAAATTGTCTAGAGTCTAGAGTAGTAATTGTAAAGGGGATAAAAGTTATGGTTAAGTTTATTTCCTCGTAATTTTAGATAACAATTTTAAGGACTGTTTAAAAAGATTGTAGCTGGCGGCACTCCTTGACAAGCGTAGATGCAATCATAAATTATTGTACAAATATCTTATGTCTAACTGCGGTCCTTAATTTTTTTCTCAAGTATCATCATTCTTATAAATTATTCAGTATTTCTATATATAATAATAATTTCTAGCGTTACAACCTAAATCTAGAGCCTATAAATTTGCTTCCAAATTAAATATTTAAATATGTATGTAAATTTAAAAAAAAAAGAGGGTTCCACTGAATGACTTAATTGTAAGCATTGAATTTATTTTTATAAGTTAAAATCGTTTTCCATATTGTAAAATGTTTCAATTCTCTAAAACCACCTCCATAAGAGGCTTCCCAATGCCATATACTTATAATAGAATTTGAGTTTTGAATCTTTACTTTTCAGTAGTTATTCAGTGTAGCTTATTTGGTAGCACTCGTCCAAACATATGCATGACTCACAATACTATTTTACAACGATGCCTTTGCCAATCGCTTTTGTATTGCTTCCTGCTGCTATTAGACTTCTTTTTTTAACTTTCTATTAGACGTTTTTTTTATATTAAATGTTGGATTACTTTATCACATTACCAGTGCTAATAATTTTCTAGCAGCTTTTTTATTTTATTTTATTTACGACCAAAAATCGAAGTAAAACATGCATGTTGGATGTATTAAAATGTTGATACCTTTGGTACAAATGAAAAATTAATTCACTTTGCAAATTCTTTCACAGTACTATAATACCCTAATTAGCCACTATCTTTACTAAAATTTAAACAAAAATATACGTAATCTTAAAAGTAGGTCTACTAATATGTTTTAATTTACTGATACAAATCTGAACTACTGGTAATACATTGGTAACTAGTCTGTTGAAATATATATTAGTATTTGTAAACATTTTCGTCGCTAATAGAGCTTACGAAGTCCCTAGTCCTATAACAAGCTCCTGGTTACTGTCTTTGATGTAATCTGGAACCGATCACGTATATAGAACGTTAACGATGATCGCCCTAGATTTTGGTGTAGAAGTTGGCACGGAATTGTAAACTGCCCTCTTTACAATAGGCGCTAAATAGCTAACCATTTCACCGACAACGCACATTAATCCGCTTTAAATATCTATATTTCAATGTGCTCTCTGAAAACCGTCAAAAGATTAATGGATATACATAGTTCAGTTGGAGAGATATATAGTTTTTCATTTTGATGGAAATAGATCTTGAAGTGTCCCATATATTTAGACGTATTAATTTTTTTGACATTTAGGAGATAACTTGCGATAATAATAATAAATTGTTTATTTGCAAAGAAAGTGGTACATTGAGATTGATTAATTTCAAAAAAAACGCACAATCAGCTATATAAAAAATAGGCATGCAAATGTCATAATAATAAGAACAGTACAGTTATTTATATAGATGGTACATAAGCCCCCAAAACTAAATAAAAGTTCTTTTAAATTAATATGCCATACTTACCAAAGCCTTAATTATGTAAGTATAGAAGTCCTTTGAGAAGTTAAAAAAACTTTTACGAAGTATAACACTTTGTATACTCTATATAAAATCAATCATATTAGTACTCACTAATGTTATGTTCGTGGTTATCTGCTAACTATAGTTTTGGTAACAAGAAATGTTGTATTGTACTTATTATTTGCATAAGTTTTTGTTTCGCAATGAATGTGTTTATTCACAGAAGCAAAACCAAAACCTGTCGTATTTTAATAAACTTGCTGCCCGTAAAAAAATATTAAGGTGTACGTGCCAATAAATTATTTCCAATGTTTCATCACTAATTTGAGCTGGGTATTATTGTCCTTTATATTTTTGTTTTAAAACAGTACAAGGACACCTAAATTCGTACAGATATTTCCGTATCGAATGAAAGTGCGGATGAATCAGACTTTTTTTAAATCTACTACGTGCCTGTCATCTGCCCAACGTTAATCTAACATTACAATTTTGTACATTCAGCTTTTTGGCACACGACATTAAAGTAAGTGTCAGCATTTCAATCTTTCCTACCTAATTACCGATGTCCTCTTAAAATTCCTGCGGATTCTTTTATCTGGCTAGTTTTAATTAAAACGAAATGTGTCACCGTTTATAAATACCTCAATGAAATATACTCTATATTCGATTTGTCTGTGAGCCGGCGGGACGTTCCGATATTAATGTCTCCGATCAAAGCCAGAGTACCGATATTAAGAAAATATATTTATGGCAGCCAGTTGGATTTGATTAGTTTCGTATTAACAGTGAAAAGCTGTTTTTTGTGTCTGTCGTAAATCCTGAAGCTTACCCTCTGCCCTTAGCGGTGCCCAACCAAAAATAGCTGTGTCTAACATCATGTTAGCATAATATATAAGCGTTTAGTTAACAATGTAGCTTGCCAAAACTAATTTCATCCATTGTAATTTTTCAATGTATCTAATGCTTAGCGTGACGCCTGAGCTGATCCGTCAAGTGCCTCGTGACCTTAGCCTTAGGATATCTATTATATTGGCTGGACATTAAAATGACATCAAGCGAAGTTTATAAACATTTGCTTCGGTTAGAACTACATGATGCGTATCGTGGCCGAGTAAATTTTAACCTGTTGTAGTATCCATTGTTTTTTTTATATTATATGTTTTGGGACCAAAGACATAAAGAAAATATATATAAATTAATCACCGAGGCCATAAAAATTATATTGCGTTGTAGTTTTATTACTCATGCTAAAGGAAGTCCAATTTGGTCCAGTCCACTCGGTTACTAGTCTGAGAAATTGAAATACATGTACGCGTAAACTTCCCTAGTTAAAGTTTTATGGTTCATCGATGTTCGCAGTCGTAAAATGTGTCGTGTATTAGTCATGATCTAACGAATGCCCGGAGACTATCAGTCAACAGCTCTCCCAGTATGCCAGATGCCTGTCAGCGACATGCGTATGCGTTAATTATCGCGCCTTTGTCGCAATTATCCACATATGCTGAATATTACACTAACTCAAGTGTCTTCCTTGTACTCGTGTTTGTCACATTCATAATTCAATAATGGAAAATACTGACAGAATTTTGGTACTTTACCAATTACCAAGGTCGCGTATATTCCTACAACTCTCAACATACTAGAGTAGTTTCAACAAATCATGTTACATTATGTATATTATTTAAATAAATTGAAAATATGGAATAATGTGGAAAGCGTCGTACTAAATTTTAAACATTGCCATCCACTTCCGATACGCGTAAAATTTTATATCTTGGATTATTTTGGGCACTCCTTAGGACTGTGATAGTTATATATCGTAAACATTGAAATTGGCACACCGAATCAACTACGTTATAAGGGCACGTGCTCGGCGTTTTGTAATACACCGTCATAGCCCAAATAAGATTAGAAGAAAACAATTTAACTTATGCACACGGCTTAGCACAGACGTGTTAAAAGGCGATGATTAAAGATTTCTCCTGTCCTCGTTTATGTCATAAGGGAGGTGCTCATTAATTGTTAACACGTTAAGTACGTGTTTTGCGCACTGCACTTTGGCTGGTGCACCGCGATCATTTTATGAATTAGGGTTGGGCAATGCTACAATTAACTGTTCCTATTTTCTGAATGAGCGAGTACTATCCGTATGAACATGGATCGTCTTTATTTTCTTTATAAATTTTGACTCGACATGCAAGTGGCCACCATGCGGGTTTGTAGTAATAGGAATCCCTCCTGCATGCGTGGGTCGGGGTCGTCGACCTGTTGCAGAGATCCCGCCCTGCCAGCGGAAAGCAGAAAAGCTGACGAAGGGCGGCAGCGCACGGCGTCCGCATTTAGCTCGGGCTGACGTCTCTGAGTCATCCCACCGTGAATAGCGTCGGTTTGTTGTTGCATCGTCCGTTCCCGGCTCTCTCACTTATTTCGAGCAAGCGGCATGTATTGCCTGCTTTTAAGCGCTTTTCTTTACACATCTATATTGAAGAAAATTGACTTAAACAGTTTTTACTTCAATTTATAAAAAAATAATGAAAAGTTTTTTCATATTTTAATAACTTTTAAAGTCATAAGTCGTAGAATTATAGCACAATTTTGGCCACCTTGGATACTTAAGCATATTAATAAGGCTTTCGGTTATCACGACACAAGATAGCCTTGGTCGTCACACCTGTGACTGTCTACCTGGTGATGGTGATATAACAAAGCGCCGTGTACGCTGCGTGGTCTGTAGCCGCATCTCGGGCTTTGGCGCGCAGTGCCGGTCGCAGTGTCTTGGCGAACGCACGCGCCATGCCCCCGTTGCCTCCGCCCCTCCGGTCCCGCGACCCTCGCGACACCATCCTCACAACCATCAGGGATACAGTCAGCTGTAGTTGGATATTTTACAGTGAGTCTCGCTGCTCGAACGCGTCTAAACGCGGAAGCTCTGTAGGCCACATTTTACGTCAGTGCGTCCTAAATAGTTGCGATTATTTTTGTGCATTTCTTGTGAGTTTTTGACTGTGATTTTAAGTGTTCTCAACCTTTAGGTCTATGTGCGTCGGTGTTATCACTGAGCTTTGTTTAGTTTCACTGCTGCCATCTATGCGTGGGTAAAGTTTAAAATCTAGGTGAACGTCTGACATCAGCAGCGGGAGTAAAATTAACTCTTGACGTATTTTAACCCTGCTAAAGAACTGCGTATGATTCTTTTGGATCTATTATAAACTCTTATTACGTTATCTAATTGCTTTTGACGACATTGGAAATACGGCTTGGTGATTGTAAATTGACGCATTAAATCGAAATTTGTGTTACAATAAGAGCGTTATTAAATAATTATGCGTTACTTACAAGGAAAAGTAAAAATAACTACCCTTGATAGAAATTTCCTCTATTTCTTTAAACATACCATAGATTAAAACAGTAATAGCATCTTTCTTAAGATATTTCGTTGACAATTGTAATAGACAAATAAACGAATGTATATTACATATCTCATACATATTGAAACTAAATTGTCTATTAATTTATATTGGCCCACTTTATTCAAATTTCATTTAAAACGCAAAATAAATAGCAACTAAACTAAAAATTGAAGTCTTTCAAAAATTTAGATACTTGTAATGTATGTAATAAAAATGCTTGTAAACGCTTTTTAAATGGTCCAAATATAACATAAACTGTATCTAATAATGTTGTAGCCTGATTACACTTATAATGTATTTAAAATTATCCAAAATATCGGTTAACGAACAGATTTTGTTTTCAGGTAACAGCAGTAGTTCGGGCGCGGAAGGCGCGGCCCCGGCTACCGAACCTGACCCAGATCTTGATTCTATGCACATGATGTTGGACCCACACTTAAGGCCTATTTCGCCTGACCTCACAAACGAAGAATCCAAGCGGATATTTGAAGAACACAAGCAATTGGCGCAGGAGTATCTCAAGGTACATTTTTTCGACCAGCTTCTTTTATATGTTTTATAAATGGAATTTGGAAGCACTCTTCGAATATTTATATCTTGCATTCCAATTACGGTTAATGTTTTTTTCTGAAAATTTAAATTTTTACATGAATAAATAAAAATATACAGTAGATTCAAGGTTTTAACAATTACGGCATTTTTTATAACCGCAAGGTCAATACAAAAGCAGTATTTAAACTAAGCTTACCATCTCAACCCTGATCATGCATTGAAATCCCGGCTATGCTCCAATGGTTATTTCTTTTCATGCATATAATTAACACTTATTCTTACGGTGAAGGTAAACAAGGTGACGTTACCGATGTCATAATGAATGAGGGTTGTATCGCTGCTGATATTATTACTCATAATTACAAACAAAGATACGGGAGATTGGTTTCATAATACATATTGTTTTTATATTTCAGATACAAACAGAGCTGGCGTACTTGAGCAAACACAAATCGGAGCTCGAAGAAAAAATGGATGATGAAGAGTTGCGACAAAAGAGAGAGATTATACAGCTTGAAAATGAGAAGGTAGCTAAGCTCAATATGCTTTAGGTCGTATGTTTAAGTCTTTGAGAAGAAAAATTAAAATTAATTGTCGAAAACCTACTCGAAAGAGGAACATGTTTTTTGTTAAATTTTTATGGTGTTGATAACATATGAAAACAATAGATATTATAAAAAACTCAGAAATATGTTTCCTGTCTAGTATTTCTCTGATAAATTTTCTTTATGATATTTGTCTGATAAATCTGATTTAAAAGATTTGTAGTCCGGTCAATTTAGACCTAAAAATGAGAGTGAGTTACATAAAGTCCCAACAAGCTGGATTTCAGTGAAATTGTTCAAAACATAATTATAAACAATGTTCTAGACATTCCACATCATTCCCGTGTAAGGAATTTTTTTTATTAAAAGTCAAAGGTCAAAAAGCGAGTTTTTCGCGATTTTCAGCCAAACGGTAAGTTTTATCATAAAAGTACCTCAGACAAAAATTGTAGATAATTATCTATAAAAAATGTATCAATACTTTTTTTCTTAAGAGCCACCGTTTCTGAGATATAACGATTCAAAAAGTTATAAAAGTTGTTATCGTCATAATATGCATGAGTACGCAACGTATATACATCTAGAGTTGTTATATATATATATATTTATTATACAAATGACCAGCGATCCAGGGGCAATCTACCACCCCTACAGGACTTAGGTGGTCCACTAATTAACATAATGATTTTATATATAAATTTGTCACCATACAGATTATATTAACTACATACCTTCAATATTTAATTAATTTAATATAATATAATAACTTTGTATAATGGCAAACGTTTGGGAATGAACGCATCGAAAATTTGAATTTTCCGCGCCACACTTCCGCGCTTGTCGCTATAAAACGTCTAGCTAACCTTACCTCAATCATCGAACGACTAAACTTCAACATATCATAACATAGTCTTATTTTAAATTGTGACATCAATATGTATACTTATATAGGAAAATTGGAAACACTACCCTGTCACAAGCGACAGCAGGAAGGTCTCTCTAAGTTGCGCAGAATTAAATCGTGGCTAAGATCTTCAATGGTTGAAGATCGCCTAACCACTCACTTCTCCACGTTTATGAAAACGTACCCGTTGACGTATATGACGTAATAACGCGTTTCGGGAAAACACGTTAAAGAAAAATTGATTTAGTTATTAAAATATATGTATTTTGTCTGTTTCTATTTTGTTTGATGGAATCCCTTGTCGTACCATCTCTTCACTTTTGCAAGTTTAGCGTAATACCCCTCGACATACCTCTAGCTGTTATGACAAATCATTCACCACGGTTATGTAATATAAATAGGCTGCCTCATTCCGTACTGATAGTCAGGCCGAGCTAAGCTCCCAAAACAGCCCGAGCTGAGCTGTAAAGGCCCTAAAGGCCAACACAGATTCCACTTCAAAAAAAAAATACGTGATAGTGTTTCTCTGGTTGTCTTCAAGAGAAGATAGTAATATGTACGTGTATACAGGTTGGTCCAACTAGTGACGTCAATAAATTTTTTTTTGATTCCTCACACCTGGGGGATACGAAAATACCCCATGTATGTTCCGCGATTTTTTGTAGTTTCGAGTTATAAATTTTTTTGTGTTTTTGAGTGTTTTCTGCCAGCAGGTTTCAAAAATTCATATCTTTTTTGTTGTAGGTATTTTGCAGCTTTTTTTTTGTTAAATGATTGCCTTAAATGATGTTCAAGTAAAAAAAATCCCAGCTTCTTAAAATTAGTTAAAGCTACTCAAAAAAGGTTTTAAAGTTAGAAGTTTAGTTTTTAGCTGGATTTGCCCAAACATTCGACTTCAATTTAAAAATACAAAAAGAAGTTTCCATAGCTTCTGGCTAAGTTTAAAAACTCCTCAGGGTTCTAAGCTACCAAAATCATTGAAAAAAATGGTACTTGATTGGTCTTTTTTGTTGTAATCGGTGGTTTTTTTTTGTGTGGATAGGCTAAAAATCATTGAAGCATTAAAAATGTTTTTTTTTCGACTTTTATTATTCTTATGGTAAATTAAACTTAATAATGTGGTTTTTTAATTAATTTTATTACCCGTAAAATAAATGTAGCTTTATCGGCCTTTTAATGTGGAAAGGCAAAAAATCATTGAAGCATTAAAACTGTTTTTTTTCGACTTTTATTATTCTTATGGTAAATTAAACTTAATAATGTGGTTTTTAATTATTTTATTACCCTAAATAAATTAGCTTAATCGGCCTTTTAATGTGGAAAGGCAAAATATTGAACATTAAAACTGTTTTTTTAACTTTTATTTTTCTTATGGCAAATTAAACTTTACGATCTATTTTTTACTAATTTTAATACCCGTAAAAAAGTAGCTGTCCTTACAATAATTTTGGTATTACCACTCAAAATTCAAAATGTTATTCGAAATGAGTATTGTAGTTGTGAAATTACCTGTTTTTTAATAACAAATAAAAACAATTTACTGAAAAAATACTATTTCTAATATATAAAATTCTCGTCTCCGGTGTTTCGACACTCAACTTCGTTCCAACTTCTCCGAAACGGCTGACCGATTCTCATGAAATTTTGTATGCATATTGGGTATGTCTGAGAATCGGACATATCTATTTTTCATCCCCCTTAATGTTAAGGGTAGTCCACCTCTAAATTATTACTTTTTAATTTTTAGATAAAGATTTTTTTATTTTTTCATGAGACACATTAAAAATCATACAACCCAATTTTCACTCCTCTACGATCAACCCCTATTTTTATTATAAATGATATATACATGGAAAAGACGTTTGCCGGATCAGCCAGTATTGTAATAAATTTTCAAAACTCCTTCCTCCAACTTGAATACATAACATAACGTTTGGGGATTTTTCAAAGAGCTGGTTTACCCGAAGGAAAGCTACTTTTCTTTAATGGGTATTAAAATCACATTATAAAGTTTAATTTTCCATAAGAATAATAAAAGTCGAAAAAAACATTATTAATGCTTCAATGATTTTTAGCCTATCCACCTTAAAGGCCATTACAACAATAAAATACCAATTAAGTACCATTTTTTTCTATGATTTTGGTAGCTTAGAACCCTGCGGAGTTTTTAAACTTAGCCAGAACCTATGGAAACGTCTTTTTGTATTTTTAAATTGAAGTCGAATGTTTGGACAAATCCAGCTAAAAACTAAACTTCTAACTTTAAAACCTTTTTGATAGCTTTAACTAATTATAGGAAGCTGAGATTTTTTTTTGAACAATTTAAGACAATCATTTCACAGAAAAAAACTGCAATACCTACAACAAAAAAAGATAGGAATTTTTGAAACCTCCTCAGAAAACATTCATAAAACACAAAAAAATTATAACTCGAAAACTACAAAAATCATGAAACATACATGGGGTATTTGGTGTGTGGTGTGTGTGGTAGGTGTGAGGAATCTAAAAAAATTATTGACGTCACTATTTGGACCAAACTGTACACAATTTATGTGTTAAGTTTTTCAAGTGTACAATAAAAGAATAAATATTTTTAATTGCAATACTTACGTACACTAATAAAACGTACACTTTTTACTTGTATCTATTGTTATCAAAATGAAATTCTAAGTTCTTGACTTGACCACGACTATGTGACCCCCTCCTGGCGCCAAAGCTGGATCCGCCCTTGCAAATGACGGTGTAGTAGGCTAAAGTAAAATAAATGTTAAAGATTTTGTTTATGGAACTGAAACATATCTTTTCTCAAAAAAGCTGATGTAGTATGGTTTTATGGAAAATGGAAAAATGAGTCTTTACCCGGTTGGAATGGTTTAATTGAACGTTTAACAAATAATCATACGAATTATTCTAAATCTTAAATTTCACCATTATATATTCACCAACCAGCTAGTAACTATAATACTATCTATACGACTTTACTTTGTGCATTAGAGAATGCAAAACGGTATGTATGGCCACACTATATGCATCGTGACTTTCGACCAGCCCCTGTATGCTAAAGCTCGAGAAATGGTATCAGCCGCCCCTGAGGGCTCTGAATTATCAAAAATCATCATCAGACTTGGAGGATTTCATTTACTGATGTCTTTTATGGGAGCAATTGGTCATATTATGCAAGGAAGCGGCATGAAAGAAGTACTAGCAGAGATCTATGCGTCAAAATCATTAGAAAAAATGCTCAATGGTCATGCTTACGCAAGAGCTATTCTAGCTCATATACTACTTCAGCTTACTTTGGCAATTATAATATGTATTAAAAGAAGTTGAAATGAATGACATAATGGATGCAGATCTAATCATAAATATCGAGCATATATTTCATACAATGATATTGAAAATGACGGTGAAGTATCTGGAGCTTTACTTAATAAATTTAATCAAAAACTAAAAGAATATGAGGAACGAGGACCAACTGCAAAACTTTGGATTCAATATTTTTGGCCGGTCGTGCTCTAATATTGAATCACAAACAATGGAGGATTCGTTTGACTCCGACGAAGTGTCATGCGATACATCGCTATTGACGCAATTTACTTGCATCCAAAATGAAGAAGAAGAACAAGAATTTCAAACTTACGAATAAGACGAATACACTTCAACACTTTTTTTTTAATTTACATCCGTTATTTTGCAATAGTTTAACATTAAACAGGATCACAACTAACCCGTGGTCCCGAGTAGGCCTACTGGGGAAACCACGTTAAAAAAAACGCGCTAAGTACACTACCTCATAGGTGGCGAGGAAAAATGTGCATATTATGACGATAACAACTTTTATAACTTTTTGAATCGTTATATCTCAGAAACGGTGGCTCGTAAGAAAAAAAGTATTGATACATTTTTTATAGATAATGTTATGATCTACATTTTTGTCTCAGGTTTTTTTATGATAAAACTTACCGTTTTGCTGAAAATCGCGAAAAACTCTTTTTTTTTACCTTTGACCTTGAATAAAATTTTTTCCTTAGACGGGAATGATGGGGAACTTCTAGACATTGTTTAATCGAATGTCTAAATTGACCGGACTATTGATATATCAAATCAATTTACTGATGATGTTTATAATTTTTAATATTACTGATCTCTTTCGAAAATCCCGGAAGATATTTTCGAAGTATTCTTTTTAATATAAGTTATATATTTATTTTAATATAGTTATTGGCTGACAAACTGGTCTTACAAATTTTCTTTTAATTCTTAATAATTATTAAACAAGGCAACAAGGCATTAATGAAACATTTATATAAACCGTCAGCTGAGCAGAAAACGCAATTTGGTATGTCTAGAAAAGTCTAGATTCTATGGTTTTCACATGAAACACACATTTCTTTCCATTCCATTTCCAAAACAACTTTTATATTTTTTAATATTTGTTTCAGGATTCGTTAATAAAACTTTACTGTACATTGAAGAACCAAGTAACTCGTGCGGAAAATGAAAGCTGGCTTCTGGGAGAAGATGCGCCGCACCAGTGACGTCACAAGACCCTGACGTCACGTGACGCCGCGGACCACACGCATTTGTCCAATTAGGTCAATTGGCATTTTGCTTTTGACATGGAATACTTTCGGAAAAAGTTTGAGATTTATAGAGGCATCATTTTGTAAGTTAATAGTTACCGTTTAAATAATTTAATTTTTCAAGGTTTTTTTGAACAATACATTGAATCGAAAAGTTGTTGTAGGTAACAATAATAAAAATAACTTGTTAGTACTGTGGCATTAAACATTTTAAGTACTTTTTAAAACTTGTTAAAATTATAAAAAATGGTACTGCGATTTACTTATTTTTACATAATTATAATTTTGGTTTACGAGAGTACATTTAAATAAAACTTTAAACGCGTATTTAGTACTGAAGGTTTACGCGTTTCGTATTGAATACTAAATCTAGTCAAACTGGACTTTAGTACTTTGAGGTTATCTAGTCCCGATGCGTGTGATCGCGGTGAATGCGAAAGACTTAGAGTACATCGTTACTACATTGATCTCAAGTCGCCGAACGAGTTTTTCATTATATTATAGGCATAGCTATACAGAATTTTCATCATTAACGGTTAAAACTGGAAAGCACCAACACGGACAAGAAAAAATAATAAGAAAAGAAACAAGTTATACACAATGCCAAAGTCAAAAATCATCTATTCATATAGGTAACACAATGTACACTTATGAACGTCAAAAAAGAAATATACATTAAATGCTTCTAATTTTACATTTACTGCCAGTTCTCAAATCAAGGGCGTAGAACGGAAGAGAAGAACTGGCAATAATAGTTAATATCACCAAAGCATTACTTAATATCATTGACGATATTCCGCTCCTAAAGTTCTAAGAGTTTAGAGGTTAGAATTTTCTAAATCGCGAGTAACGCCAATTGACCACATTTTGAAATAGTTACATGCACTTCGTGTATAATTCTTTAATTTATTTAGGTCTAAAAAAATAATCTTTATAAGATTTGGTTTTTTTTACAAATACCAAAAAGAAACTGGTGGTATACGGTTCCTGGGTCAACAGAAGGTATTTTAAATAATATTGGATATTACTTAAATGCTATGCCATGATTATAATGCTAAAGAAAGTGCCTGCTTCTGGCTATACTCTCGGGGCGGAATTTCGAAGATTTAGGTAATCGACACGCTTATAAAACTAAAAAAGTCTGAGTGAGCAAAATGTACAACCTTGGTAAAGGTACTTAGTGCTGGGATTAATGGCTCCGCCAAATCTGTGGAATAAATAAAACATAACAATAAACAACATTTTAAGAGGTTTGAATATCGAAAATCGTTGATGCGATCTCATTTCAATACATGAGAAGAGAAAGAGATAAGAGAATTCGATTTTAATAGCTATGCCTATACAGATTTTAATGTATGAGTTCCTTTTTAGTCGCTTTACAATTGGAATTGATTAATTCCGTCGTTTTATTTGACTCCGTTTGTTTTTTATTTAATTTGATTTTTTTGCACACAATGGATATAGTTAGATTATGCATTGAAACTTAGAGCGAAGTATGATTCCTGTATTTGAAATCCAATATATTTTGACGTACGGGAGACGCACTTAGCCTCGTTTCTGATTCTTCTAAAAGTTGAGACTTAGCGCTAAGTTCGACTCCCGTAAGTCCCGTTAAGTCATGTCTTTCAAAATGTGATCACGTGACGATGAAACTTAATTAAACAATGTAATTTACTGATTTAGTTATTTATGATGAAGGTACGTGTTTGATACAATTTTATGCTGAACTTGTGTGCAAAGACTATTGCAGTAGATTTTGAATAAGAAACGATGTTTTAACTAATCACAAAAGCGTTCAAGAGAGCACGTTTTAGGGCTCTTTTAGCTATGATTGACAATACTTGTAGAAGGCCTTGTAAACGAGCGATTTTCGACTTTACTGAGAAACTCAGCTTTACTGCTTACAAACCCTACTACATTCTTATAATTATATTTAGTTTATGTGTGTGCAAATGATTTAATTAGATGTAATTTAGATATAGATTACATAAGTATTGTTAATGTTAAGTTTAATAAAGTATATGGAATTTTATGTTTTCTTTCACTCACCGCAACCTTATGAGACAATTACGCGTCCATTGTAAAATGTCGTTATTAAAACCCAATTAATTTTAAAATTCATGAAAGATATGTATTCAAACTACATAGATTTTAAAATTGACTTCGTTAACGAATTTCGACTACGAAGTTTTTATAAATGCTTAGCACGAAAAAAAAGTAGAAAAAACTTGAGCAGCACTCCGTGAACGTACTTAACATTATTTGAAAACAAGCTCGAACACAATTCGTTTAAATATATGATCTAGTTAGTCCACAATCATTTATATTGTACAATTCTTACCCTGGATCCCGACGATTTTGTAAACAAGTTCGACGTAGTTCTCTCAATATCCGTAGCGCTGATGTCGCATTGGGGTCGCGGCGTACAAACTAATTTTTGATATCGTGTACACTATTGGAAGTTAGAGACTTAGTATAGCTAGTTATGTTGTACACAAGAATCGTAAAGTTAGTATGCGCTAAGGGTAAGTGTGGCACCACACATACCCTTAGCATTTATTTATCATTCTGTTGCAACATCCGCTTTATCTATCATCATAAACCCTCCATCACTGCTCAATGCTCATACAAAGTAGGTGGAATTCCTGATCGCTAAACGAATCCGGATTCACTTTGACATGCAAGTTTGTCGAATTTTAATTTGTTATATCCTTTTTCTATTTCGTACATCTTAATATTATTTTTGTTGCGGTGAGAAAAAAGTAACATATCACCAATACATGAGTCAGTACGAGTATGTAGTCCCGTAGTGTAAGCCCAAACTTAAGGAACAATTGTCTTGAGTATATGTATATAGTATATAGAGAGATAAAACTTTGTACTGTTTGTACCGTGAACCTTACATTGGTTTCGATCTCAGGACTATGATTGCGATCGTTAACCATATAAACCAACCGAAAACCTGACTCATGGTAAGGAAATTAAAAAAAACACAATTTCAGTCAAAATATTTTTATTTTTAATTGTTGACTATTGGAATGGTGAAACATTACAGAATAAATAATATAAAAACTGAATTTGGCACGTTATAATATTTACAAATCAAAATATCTTCGAGATTCTGTGTTTCTAATAAATAAATGCTTTTTCGATGCAATCATCGATTGGACGAAATGGACGTAACAAATTATTTACAATAATTACATATTCGCCTATTTATTGACTGATAGAAATGAAATTTTCGTCAATAACTAACCTATTAACAAACCCATTAAAATAATCTGTTAGGAAAAATAAATTGTGATGCGACCCTTAAATTTTAAAATGCCAAATTTCAAAATAAATAATCTCCAAATTAATAAATCTCAATTAAATTCGTTAGAATAGTTTTTAACATTTATAAAACACCCTCATTACCAAGATAATAATCTCGAATAACACTAAATGCCGAAATCGTATTCAATTCAAAATTACTTAAATGCCATTAAAATCAGCATATCAGTAAAATTACTACTACCAAATATCGAGGGTTACCATACGTAATTATAAAATATATACCTAGATTAACTATGATAATATAGGCAATTCCATTCAGCGCCTATTCTACTCGATATGCACTAAATTATTCTCATTCTTATATAATAAAGAGTAAATTCAACATTTTGTAATACAAGAATTTGAGACATACAAATTAAGGCAACAGTAGAAGTGTATTCGATAAACCTGCACACAATTCCCTGTTTTACATGTCGTCATGATCGTAGAACAATGTCGGAAAAATCCACTTTTTATCATATTTGGATACTACTACATTGACTAAATATTACGGCTACATTAAAAAACAATTACATGTGTTTTAAATTTCAAATTAATCAGTCGGTAAAGTGACGGAATTGATAGAAACATGTGAATTTCTCAAGAAAACTGTGTAATTTAATGTTATTATTTTTATTTTGTTTCAAAACAAACTCTTTCGTTTGCTTGTATGTCAATTTTCATAATAACAGAATATGAATTAAAATAGTTATGACAAAAACTAAAATGATAATATTATTTTAGCTGCCCTGTAAAGTTTACTATTTGACAGATCCGTCACTATTCTACGACTATGACGATATTTTTGTATCCACTGATTTTTCAATAAACAGCACAGAGATGGCAACTTTGAAATATTTTATGATAAAAATATTAAGTAGTATAGATTTAATTGAATTTTTATTTACTTTATTAACTTTTAATTTATGGAATGATTAGAATCAATATGCAGATTTAGCGCGTTTTATAAATATTTATAAAAATACCTAATGTTACAATCTCTTGTTGCAACGAAATTAAATATATAATATAACAACCATGCGACGTAACATACATTTATATAAAATCATTCAATAAATTTAATGAAAATAAGTCCTAACACTGGCAGTAAATAAGCATTACTAAAGAAAATAGTAACTTTAAACATAGTCTACATCTTCGAGTAAAGACAACCTACGCCCCAAGTCGTAGATATGAAGAACGGATTTGATAGGTCCTAAAGGTCAGCAAAATACTCAAAGATAAGTACTACACAATTTTATTTACACAAGAATTCAAAGTAATAATGATACAATCCCGATAATAGCGGTGTTTTTTTCTATAAACTTTAAAGGAGGATGTATACAATTTTTTAGAACACGTTAAACATGGCTTTTTTCAGGCTAGTGTTTAAAAATTGTAATACACATTGCAATATAAGTTATTATTAGTTATTATATACGAAAATTTAACTACGTAATGAAATAAATAACGGTTAAAAACCCAATCGGGAAATCAACCAAGGACCCGTTTGTATGGAATACAGTCAAATTTATTCTCCACACCCGCGTTCCAATTACTCTCAAGGCTTGCAAGACCAAGTGACTTGACAATTAAAAAATTACTCGAAGATGTTAAATTTCCATTAAGAAAACGTTAAAACGGGGTTTACATGAAGAAGGAAGCATAAATCGATTATGGCACAGAGTGCCCTAGCCTTCTAAATATGATAGGAAAATATATCAATCAACAGAGTGCTAGAAAATATGCAGATAATAGCTCTACTATTAAAATCTTATTGAATAGATAGATCTTCTAAAAACTATATTATCTCTGTCTAGTGAACACCTGCATGTGTTTACCAAGGTGGCATACTTTTCCATTTTTATTCACTCGATAACAAAATGACATCTTATTACAAAGGTGTAAAAAATTGTTTTTTTATGGTCGTGATCAAATAATTATAAAGAGTTTACGTATATATTTAACAAGGAATGTTTTTTCTAAAGCGTAAGTCTCCAAGAGAGGAGCAAAATGATATAAAGGTGACGCGTAGAATTGCAAAACCAAACTGAAATAATGGAAAAATCATTCAAAAAAACATATCAAACAATTGTATTTGTAATTGAAAAATGTAATGTGGTATTCTAAACTGTCAATTGTTCATCGAGAAAATAAACGAAAATGTAAAATCAAATTACATTCAAAAAAAAATTACAAAAAACTTCTAGTCACAGAACTCGAAACAGATATAAAGCTTTAAATAATTATGGAACATTAACAATAAATTCGTGATAATTTCTGGAAAACGTCATAACTTGTGACTTATCACTTTACACGTGGAAAACTCAAGTAGGCATCATAGGAATTCCTTTAGCCTATTAGAAATTGCGTTCAAATACACAAATTAAGGAGCTGCTTTCTGTGGTACATAGTAATGGAAAGACATATTTAAGTAGATTATTCGGGAGATATTTCAGAATTTGAACATGTATATATTAACCTAAATACATAAGGTTTTTAAGACATTTTAAATACATGAAGAACATTAAAGAGCTACTTAATTGCCTCGGGAGCTACTTACTAGTCGAAAGTCAGAATTATTTAAGTAGATTATTTGAGAGTTATGGGACTTAATACAAATCATACGTGTAATAATCAGTCATAGATGTATTAAATATTGGAGCTGCTAAAACTGTATCACCTTCCAAAATTTAAATTTAAGTTATACAATAAATTTATTTGCGTATTTGAACACGATTAGACACACTTATAAAACTTTGATAACGCCAAAATTTCCAACGTGGATTTAATCTCAAAATTCCATCGTACCAATACAATCTTACGCTAAATAATTTCAAGAGCAAACAAACAGTTTGAGCAACATCAGGGAATACGAGATGTATTGTCAAATTGGGCAAAGTCGATATAAAACTAGACATAGGAATAAACTAATCTAATATAATATAACGATAGGGGAAGACTGTTGTGGTCTATCGTTGTTAAATCTGGAAATAAATAAAATTATTATTATGGATGAAGCACAGTAGATTTTTTTTCGTTCTACTCCCCCCTGCATGTGTCCAGGGACTTTTTTACATCTACCGTTCCAGACACGTTCTATGCTTTGTTCAGATATCATGTGTAGGCCGTTACGGTCTACAGTCCGAGAGTATTTGTTGCTCCAGGTCGTGCCTGGACGGTGCGAATATAGCGCAATGTATAAGCACATGTTGTACGGTTTGTTCGACATTATTGTCTTAGTTTTAAACCTATGCAGCTAAGGGAGCGTTCAAGTTTCAAATTACGTCACACAATTTTTGGAGAATATATATTATTGCCCCCCCCATGTAACGCGCCGTAACGTTGGTCGTCGTGACCACCCAGTGACTCTTTATACCTAAAAGTTATCATTATGTGATGTCAAGTAATGGAAAGTCGAAAATAATATTAACAATACCGCGTAATTCAATCCCCGCCCCGTATCGTAACGTTTTACAAAAGGACCCCCCACAAATTCGTTACGTAATACTTGAACGCTCCCTAATGCGCATATGCTCCCGTGCCCTGTAAGAATCAGTGCCCGTGCACAGGAGATGTTACCATAGTAACTAGTATGATACTAACTATAGACTATAATAATTTCGTTATTATTATTTAGGCTTTCAGTGAATACTGCCGGGGACTTTCGAGAAAAATAGAAGTGTAAGTTTAAATATCTTTAATAAGTTGTCGGAACTAGCTATCTATAGCAAGTTCCACAGAAACATTAAACTATTTAGTTTTATAAGTAATAATGAAATCCTTACATTATCGAGGTGCACTAGCTGCGACGGGCTTGCCACTTGAAGTCAAGTTGCATCAGCCATTGTTGTCCCCTTGACTTATCACACGCCCTCAGGACCGGCTTCCATACATCCGCCGACTCGGGCTTTGTAAGGCACATACCAGTGTTGGAGTGCTTTATCGTGCGCAACTAAAAGATAAAAAAAATACAATTAAAAAAAAACTTTTAATACATGAGGTGGTAAGCTATTTCTACCATTTAACCTTTATATCTTTTTGCAAATTTCCTGAAAAATCTGTGTATTTAGGGTGTAATCCTGGAGAAATGCTGGACGGGGTGCGGCGATAAGGTTTCGCAGTTACCTGGCCCCGTCCAAAAGCAACAAGATGCTCCCGTGGAGTTTTTGCGGGTAGACTCAAACTCAAAATATCTTTATTCAAGAGGTAACCAAGTACACTTTTGAATCGTCAAGTTAAATTAATCGTAAATTTACATTTACTACCAGTTCGCAAGTCAAGGGCGTAGAGCGGGTAAGAAGAACTGGCAAGAAACTTTCCGCCACTCTTTTTAATCGCCAAGTATTGTCGTACAAATTGTTTGAACTGGAGCAATTCAATCCCAAGGATTAGGATCATTTAAGTAGTCCTCAAATTTATAAAAAACTTTGTTGATTAATTTTCGTTTAACGAGGGCTTTGAATTTATTTAGTGATAATACTCTAATTTCGCTTGGGAGTTTGTTGTAAAAACGAATACAATTTCCATATAAGGAGTGGTTTATCTTTTGGAGCCTGGTTGGTCTTACACTCAAATTAGTTCTATTTCGCGTATTATACTGGTGAAAGTCACCATTATAATACGCGAAAGAGTGCAGTAACAACATATTATACAGAATTGAGAAGAGTTGCATTGTCCACTGTTATAAAAAAGTTTAGGTATTTTTTTCTATTCTATCTAATAGTTGCTGCATTGGTAGAAAATTGACTAAAAAAATTCACTATGTGGGTTCTAATTGTAATGATCTTTATGAGTGTAATTTCAGTATTTACAAAGTTTTTCTCATTAATATTTTAAACCCTATTTTCAACCCTATAACTCGTTCTGTCTCAAAACTAAAACAGGCAAGAAGTTCTGAAACTATTTGAGCAGAATATTAACATTTACAAACTCAATACCATTACACAAGTTAAAAAGAAATTCAGTTTTAGAAATTCTTTAGATTAATGTATTTTAAAACCAAATCAGCCGTCTAACATACAGAGCTTAACTACTCAGCTTTCTGTCAAACTGAATTATTGCTTATAAATCTTTAGTTAACCGTAAAAGATTTTTTTTATCAAGTTTTATTATTATTGTACTAAAGGTGCGCTTACACGAGGGCAATAATTGCTAGGCGACACGAATGGACCGATCTGGAGCAATTAATGGAGCAATTTCAATAAATTCAATAAATTTCAATAAATTATTTCGGCGATATTGCTTCTAATTGCTCCAGATATTTCATATCGCTCAATGTCGCAGATACGAATTGACGAATATCCAATGGACTTGGAAATTCCTAGCAATTTTTGTATATATCTCATTCGCACTTGTTTGTTTTGCGGCTTGCCGTCTTGCTTCTCCGCGGGGAGAGCGAGAGGTCTAAATAATAATAATTTCTAATTACTTTATTCAAAAGTAATTCAAAGTCTGTTCGTGACATTCTAGTAAGGGATTTTTTTTCTTTACACAATGAAAATTGGCTTTTGCCAAAACGATCGCACCCAGATACGCCTATTCCTTTTCTTCCTTTTTTTTTTTAATAAAAAAAACCCCCCCCCAGGCGAGCAAGAACAATGTCGTCCATAGCGAGAGAATACTGAATTGCCGTTGCCGTAAATTGCTTGATGTAGTCGTGACGTCATAGTTGACGAGTATTGACTGGAATTGAGCAATTTTAGTTGCCCGTGTAAGCGCACCTTAAGATGCTATTAACTTATCACAATTCTTGAGGGATTCCGATTTACAATATTACGTCGTTGACACTGGCAAACACTTTCATACTTAGGCCCACGTTCCAAAACGTCAAAGTTATCTAGTTAAAAGAGCTGTCAAAACATTTTTTCCATATGAAGTTTTCCAGCACATCAGAAGAGATTGTAACTTGATATACGAATAAAAATATGGACACACGCACATACTTTTAATTTATTTTCCTTAATCAGTTTTTCGATAATTTTTTTTTTTAATTGAGCTTCCTACGTCGGAGTAGTCAAGTCACTGTATAATCTTGATAGTTTTTTATTTATTCTTGTAATCCAGAGGTTTAGCGCGAACTTTGACTCCTTAGGCCTGGGCAGTTATGAAGAAAATTTTAAGATCTACCTTAGCGTCATAAGTCCACTCCTGGTTTCCTCGCATCCCATGACACCGGATTAGCTTAATTGGACCCTTTGGGTGAGCTGCATCAAGGCAATTGTCATCAGACATAATCTGCTTGCGTTTTGTATATGCGAACACCTGGAAATATTAAAATATTTCACATGTATTTAAATTCCTATAAAACAAAAAAATCTAATCAAATAAATGTGTTGGAGGAACGAAGTATAATTAAGAATTTAAAAGTACAACAAATATTTAAACAAATTCATTAACATTTACGGGAACACAGTATTGTAATTTGAACTTTTGCCAGATAACTTAACTTAACCGGTTATTTAGTAACAATTTTGAATAAAAATAAAAATTTTACCTGATTCCCACCCATTCCATGACAGTATCCCATTCCCAGAGGCTGTCCAGCTTTTCCGCCCAGTGTGTCAAGGCAATTAGACGTTTCAGCGTTTCGAATCTGAAATTTTGGATTAAGTATAGTTTCTTATTGTATACAGAAACTACATTGGTTTATCCCAAGATCTTTGGTTTGATTACCAAAAAATAAATAATTATTTAAGTAAGGTAATAAAGTAATCCGAAGGCTGATTCCGACCTTAATATCTAAAAATAACAACGAAACAGACCAGAACAACCGAGGCACGATTGCCATGTTTGGTCGCCTTCATAATTCATTTTTAAATTGTTATCCTATTTACAAAATTAATTTTAATTTGTATACCCGGGTATCTTCACAAAATCACTTAGGCACAAGGTCTAATGGACACCAAGATTATTACACAATATATGTGTAAGTATTGATAAGGTATCAACAAACAATCCGACACGATAAACGCTGATTTATTTTCTTATCATTTGTGTTGATGTTTGAGTGATACGAGATTATCGCATACACCTAATATAATAATCAGCGATCTACAATTCATATATTTAAATATGATATATGTATGTCCGTTCGGTGGAAGTAAATGACAAGGAAAACTGAGATACACCTTCCTAAATAAATTATCTAATATATAAAATTCTCGTGTCGCGGTGTTTGTAGTTAAACTCCTGCGAAACGGATTCACCGATTCCCATGAAATTTTGTGTGCATATTGGGTATGTCTGAGAATCGGACAACATCTATTTTTCATCCCCCTAAATGTTAAAGGTAGTCCACCCCTAAATTATTATTTTTGTAATTTTTAGATATTTTTTTATTTTATTTATTTATGATACAGCATTAAAACCCCTAATTTTCACCCCTCTACGATCAACCCCTATTTTTTATTAAAAATGATATACATGGCAAAACGATGATTGCCAGGTCAGCTAGTTGTTTCATAAAAAGTTCCCATTTGTTGGAAATAATCTTATTCTCTAGGACACAACCAAACTATACCTGGTTATGACCAGGGAAATGTCAATATCACGATGCAATAATAACTCTAACTATATAACCTAAACATCATTGTGGTGTTGGCTTAGTAGCTTCAACGTGCGACTCTCATCCCTGTGAGACCTACGACAGGTTCGATCCCCGACTATGCATTGGTGCTATCTTTATATGTGCGCATTTAACACTCGCTCGTACGGAAAACATTGTGAGGAAGCCAGCATGCCTTACACCCAAAAAGTCGACGGTGTGTGTCAGGCACAGAACGTTGATCATCCACTTGCCTATTAGAAATGATCACGGCACAGATACAAAATCTGAGGCCCAGACCTAAAAGGTTGTAGCGCCATTGGCATTGCATAAACATAATTACAAGTTTCCAGTAGATACATTTAGAAAAATAAAAAAAACTAATGTGTAAGTTTCAGACTCCAGCATTTGTAATAGATCCAAATAAGTTGTTTTAATATAAGAATATACAAAATAGAACAAATATATCCTCTTGCAGAATCCTCAACAAAGCCTATAGTCATTAATAAAAAAAAACTAAGTTAAAATACCGACCACGCACTCTCGCGCCCATTGGCATAGAGATTGTCCATGGGATTAACATCAGATGAGCCTCTTGCCCATTTGAAAAAAAAGTTACTCACCTCTCCCAAATAATAATATTCAAGAGGCATCTGACTCTCCGGGTAAATATTCTCCAGGTACCATCTGAAGCTCTTGCATTTCAGGTTCTCCCGCAAAGCCTTCCGTTCAGTGACGTCACCGACAGGCACGTTCAAGGCACCTACTCACACATCATTAATACAAAATCGCTAACAAAAAGTGAAAGGTCAATAAATATAATAATACATGCATAAATTAGAATACATAAAACATCCCCATAACCATAATATCATCAACTCATTCTCATTCGGCATATAAAAATGTCAATCATTAACCAAATGTAATGATAAAAAGACCGGAATAATGATGTCAACAAAAGATTGTTAAACGTAAGTGATAAAATCATTAATTATAATTAGCAGAACAAGAACAAGTGCGTTAACCATGACGCGTGTTGCGAGTTATTTAATGAATTAAAATGTGTTAATGCAATGATATAACCCAATGATGCATATTACGGGAAATAGCAATAATAGCGACCATATTATATCAAATATTTATATAAAATATTAATGGTTTATATAAATAGATAAAGAATTCGTCAGGATTATAACTTTTATTTGGCGTAGATGATTGTTTCCTCGATAATAACGATTTGGGAAATTTAAAATAGAAGTACCAATAATATTAATACACCATTTTATGTTGATAAAAATATGTCATTTTAATTTATTATCATTATTTCGTTATTATATATATTCAGTGCTTGCTTTACTTCCCGGCAATTGAAATTGCGACATCTAAAAAGGTCTTCAAACAGAATGTTCCAAACTTGATTACAAGTATTTCGGATCTGATCGTAGAGTCATATCATAGAGAAATTTTTTAATGCACATGTCTTTGCAACGGAAACCTTTAAATAGCATATTTTTGTTGTTGAAACACTTACAAAAGTAAACCCAAATATACCTCGCGACACGTTCACGCCATATATAAGTCACAATAACCTGGGTTAATATTGTAGTAGAAATGTTTCCAGTCGTCAAGCCAGACTTCGGCGAGACGCGCGTTGTTGTGGTTCACGACACGGCCCGTCCCTCCCGGGAACGAATAGGGCGTGGTCTTGCGGAACACGTGGCCCACGTGGGAGCATGGCGCTATCTCCAGAGTGCCCCCACACATCCATACCTGGGGCACAAGTCTGGTATTGCATACTTGATACCATGTTTTTATAGCTTAGGGATGTGTACAATCTGGTACTTGGGCAAAAGTATAAATTTTCCAAAAACATGTAATCCCGCCTACAAAGGGGAAATAATGAACTATGGAGGGAATACTGACGAGGAACAATAAGGATATCTAGGTCAAATCTAGACTAAACAGTCTAGACATGGTATTTTGTCACCAAAACCCTAGGCAACAAGTAATCCTATAGAGGACGCAAGCTACCAAAACTGTCAGAATATTTGTATTGCAATAACAGACTTACTTCCCGGTCGACTTGTCATGTGAAAAATCAGATGTTACAATAATGTATAAAGTGAGAGGTTATGTATTACTTCCTACACAATCAAAAACTTATATGATTTCACTTTCGAAATACGCATGAAATTTATTCAAAGGTCAATTGAGCCGTGTCATGACGTGACATTGTTGAATTTTATTTCCACATGGCAAGACGATCACCACAATACAAAATTCTAAATTTGTTATTACTCGCAGCAACCCAAAAAGTATATCTATCGTATACTGAATAGACATATTCTACGTTATTAGAGGTAACGTGAAAACCTTAAATAATTTAGGAGAAATTAACATATAATTTTGTTAGTCATGGTCCGTGTTTATATGAAGAATTGCGACAGCATTAATTCAACAATAATCCGAAATCCTTTCGTGTTTCCTATGCATCTCATTATATTCCACGAATAAAAACACTTAACAAAGACCATTATTTTATAATTACCCCAATAAACTTCTATGAACTATCAAGATAACGGCTACGATAATTGCCAATTAGCTTCTATGTATTAGTAATATACGGAGTGATTCATTACTAAGCCCACTAGATGTCGGTTTGAAAAGTGAGACAAATTTTAGATATCGAGAGTTTCAGCTTTCACTCGCATGGTCTAGACTCTAGACTCTAGGCGTGAAAATTATGACGGAAACAGTGGGTGGAGTGCCAAAAAATATTTTTAAAACGTTTGACCTTGACCCTGACCGAGGTCTTCTTGGAGCCCTCCTGTGCAATGTACGGGGTAAACTAAAACTTGAACAAAGGTCCCTCGTGCTTAGTCAGGTGACCATTTCTACACTACCAGGTAGAGCAGTTGCCCAAAAAATTATCTAGGGCCCCACGGGGTAGTGGGTTTTTTATAAACAGGAACCCCTACATCATAGCCTATTAGGCACGCAATCAGGCAGATATGTGAGCGAGAAGCTAAGCAGTAGGGGAGTGTCGAAATCTCCCTTTTCCCAAAAAGGGACTTTATTAACTAAAAGGGTTGGCGTCTCCCGCCGGGCCCGGACGACAAATATTCCAGAAATATCCTCATAATTTCTATTGTCGAGTCGAGGCCCGCTGCCCGACGCTAGGTGTTGGGTTATGGTCAAGTATGATTTACTAATATAATATAATAACATTTCGGAAAAATGTTTATAAACACGATTATGCCGGCGCCACTCTTTTACATAGTTGTTATATAAACAATTTTCACAGTTATTGAGCGTGAGATGAAACAAATGCGTTCATCTCAAATTCAACACATTATGTTATATAATATAATTATTAAATATATTAAACAATATACATCGGTAAGTCAATGGAAAATTCCCCAATATTTGCATATTCATTAAACATTTAAGACATAAAGCATGTTAATTATATAAATGTAATAAAGGATTAAATACATATTTAAACAACTGAATAAACAGACAACATTGTGGTAATTTTAATCGTCGACATTGTATGAGTGTAATAATGGCCTGCGGCCTAGAGCGCCTGACCACTTAAATCTTACCATTCTCTTGCATTAATTAAAAAATAAATACATGTTTGTTAGATATATACCTTAGTAAAAATATTTAATAATAAGATCAATAATATTTCAATTAGTAATGGTTTAGTTTTTTTGAAGTTATACTTCTTTAGGCGCGTTATGAAAAATTGATGAGAGTGAAATTTTACGATGCGCGCGCACCGTGACACAAAATTAACAGAATGAAGTTGCCCAGTGCCCACGGAAGATGCTACGGCATTGGACATAATTTAAAAACAACATTCGAATAATAATAGAATTTATGTTACTCTTAATGTAAGAGAATAATAATAAATATTTATTTATTTAATTTTTGAAATGTAAACTGAACTTTATTGACTATAATGACTCCTTTTCCAGTCTTTGATTAATTATTTAATTGTAATTAATTATTTGCATGCAATCAAAAACTATTTTTAATAATGCCAAAGAAGTATAACTTCTTACGCGCGTACATAAGTACACGCACCCTTTTTTTATTTATACTATTCTATTAAGCCATGACACGGAGAGTATCGTGATACATGTTTCATCTCAGACTCGGTTAAGGTAAATTATTATGAGCAAATTTCTTGATATTAATAAACCTGTCTCTAACTATAAGATGATTTATAATCCTTCGTAGTGGTAAACCCAGAATATCCTGCTACAAAAGGCTGATCACAAGGAACGTATATGGTCTTTTGTTTTCTAATACCTATTACACGAATAACACGAAACAGATACTGAAATTAGAGGGCCAGACATAAAAGGTTGTATCGCTGCTTCTAATAAGAAATTTCTCTATTCCTTAGTTACATTCTAGCTGTATTCCGAATCCATAACAAAAACAAATGGCGTAACTATAATTAGTACGACCCTTCAAGGTTACTGCGAACTGTACGAGTCAATGACCTTTGCTTTAAAACCATTCAATACTCTCCGCGAAGAATTGCTGTGGGATTTTTTAATATTTAAACCTCATTGCTTCTGCATTGAGAAGAAGCAAAACAAAAGACAAAAGAACGAAACTTCCTAAAAGATAATAAGATTAAAGGGAAAATATAAGCATGCAATAGAAAGCGAAATATGAAAATAATGAAACAAAGATGGAATGCAGTTGCAATGATCATCAAATGTTATTAAGCGTTAATAACACACAAATTGTTAATACTCCCAAGCCACAACAAAACTTTGTGCGAGCGTTTCACGCTTTGCCAATTCATTTTCACCTAAAATTATTATTATTTATACCAATGAGAATTGTATTGCTTTGGAATAAAGACCTAATTCGCTCATACGAAAGTTGTTAAAGATGTTATTAATCGACGGTAAAGGACGGTTAGACGGAAATATGAGCCCTATTTTTCTTACAATAAATATTAAATATTAGTTGTAATATTGCTTCATCGTAAAATTCAGCCGAATTTCATTATTGATAAAAAAAATTGAAAATCAAATCAAATCGTAATCGATCAATATTAAGTTTTGAAATCAAAGAGCCGACGTAAAATCACGCTAATTGCTCGAAGATTATCACAAGATAAAGCAACGACATACGCACACGATATATTAATAAGTATACACGCCTTAATTGTTTTATCTATTCGCCTTAATTGTATTATCTATATTATTGGTTTCAATTTAACACCGAAAAATATCACGTGATTTGGTAAATAAAACTTTTCGAATAATAGTAGGTCACGGTAATAATTTGCTAATAGCATCATTTACTACACAAGTATAAAGATTACCGAAGTTTGACAGTGTAAGAACAGTTAATTTTACATTTTCCCTTTCATAATAACAAAATGTTTATTCTTTGTAAATCTTTTGGCAAAACGTGCAACGCGTACGCAAGTTCAACCGAACCTGGATTCATGGCGTAATAGAACTCTCCCCATTCGTCCATCCACACTTCGGCAACTCTTGCCGCGTTATGGAGGACCACGTTTTGAACTCCACCGGGGAATGAGTACGGCGATTTATCACGAAACACGTGGCCGACGTGAGAGCAAGGCACTATTTCAAGGCGCCCGCCGCACTGCCACACCTTCATCCCAGAAAGTACCAATTAATGGGACATTAGGCCATTTTTGCCAAGGCTATCGAGTTCTTTCATAATAATGTTGGGCTTTTATTATTAATCGTAAACATGTTTTCATACCCGTGGGATTCTAGTATCAATAATTTCGTTGGCCTGCATCATATTCGGTAAGTTGCAGACACATTAATCCGACTAATGTTACACTTGATATCGAAATTCACTATAAATAAGTCGAATACGATACCCTGAAGCTCATCTCCAAGTTCTCTCCACCCCAGATGTCCATACCCTGGTCGTAAGAGCCGATTTTGTAGAAATAGTCCCTGTCGATGGCAAATAGGCCACCAGCCATTGTAGGCGTGCGTAAGGGAGCTGTTCGGTCGCCCCCTCTTCTCGCCATTTCCCGTTCTGGTACGCGGTACCTGTAATATATATAGAATTGTATAATATCTATCTATTAGCTAGTGCTTAATGTCAAATTAAGAATTTTTCACTTTGGCAACGCAATTTACCGTGTCTGCACCTGGAGATACTGTTTTGGCTTCAATTTACTTACACGCAATAAAGCTAATAAACAGTTCTAGCGTAATATTTAGTATTTAGATCTTAAAGGATAAAATAATATAAAAGTAATACATTAAATAAACAATATACGAATACTAATTAATAAATACGTGAAGAGCGAAAATCCTACAACATAACCATAGCGTGCGATGTGTTGTACGAATACGTACAAATTTTATATGGTTTGTCAACTAAACATCCGTTAGAAAATCAAGTTTAACCGACTCGCAGCCGTTTTAGTAGTAAATGAGTCTGTACAGACTAATTATATCGTCATCGTATGGGATTTCTTTAGTCTAGGTTACTTGTGTTAATGAACCAAATTGATTTTTTTAAGAAAAATATAGTTGTAAAACCTTTATTAATAGTATAGGTTAAAATACTTTGTATACTATGTTTGTAATAGTAACTTCTAATGCTGCTGTAATAATTTTGTTCGATGGAACTGATATAATAATTTTATAAAATAACTAAATAGACCAACCAGCCCGCATAACGCCCATATTCTTAATCGTATGTGAAGTGACAACCTCGTTTGCTCTATTAAATGTCAAACTTCGTACGTGAAATTGACAGCTCAAAACAAGGTTTTTATTGATTGGTGATAGAATAAGTAAATTCGTAATAAAAGGTAGGAAGAACATTTTATATCTTTATATTTATAATTCTATCATCTCATTAAATCCTAGATGTGCCCTTTTTTGCCAAAGGACTCTTCCAAATCCCGCCCTTTCCGTCTGCACTGTGCCACTCTCTGCCATGTACCTACTCTTTCCTTAATCTGGTCCATCCACCTACTGAATTGACTACCTTGTGCACCAGTTAAATACGTGGATGCTCCACATTTCTATTCCTCTTATTATGTGCCACGCCCATTTCCACTTAACTTTATTTATCTTAATGTGACATCTTCTACCTTCGTTATTCTTTTAAATTATATATTCTTTATTTTATCTATTCTTCTCTTCCCTACATCGTTTCATGGATCTTTGACACAACTGTAGTTATGCTGCGCTTTTGTGAATGCACAAGTTTGAGATCCATATAAGTACAGATAGTACACAACTCTTGAAAATTGTTACATACATACATATGACTAATATTTAAGTAGAAGGTCTGATAATCACTAACCACAACCACAAGCTACTGTAACTCTAGACGAATCCGTACGAATTCACTCAATTCTCAACCTATATTTCATTTGCCATATAATTTCGATAGAAATGTCATATGTACGCGGATTTGGAGAAATTATACAGCCTGTTTTGAAAAAAGATACAACATGGTCAGTCACTCAGCCACTACTCGGTTTGGGAAAAAGTTCTTTAGGGAATTTGTATTATGTTGAGTGGTATTCAGTTAAAAAAAAACTTTTTTTATAGAACCGGTGGCAACCATGGACACTTTTAATCCCTTTTAAGAATTGGTACGCTCTTTCCTTGAAGGACCCTAAGTCGAATTGGTTCGGAAATACTTCAGTAGGTAGCTGGTTCTTCATAGTCAAAACTTCCCTTAAATATGTGTTCTCACTTAAAATACTTTTCAATTATTGGAAATTATGGTGGCCAGTTAGGGTTTTATTAGTTTCAATGGGATTATTTCTTATAAGGTTTGTTCCTAAGCGCTCTAACCATTTTCTTTGAATCCTTTCAATATCTGTTCTTAAATAAGGATTCCATCCTAACATCGTAACATTTAATCAAATGTAATTGTGTTATATAGTTTCATGAATTAAAAGTATGAGTTAGTTTAGTTAGGACTGTGATTTTATTAAATTAAGCGTATATCATCCAACCATCATACCCGAGGTTGTAGTTTCGAACCCCGGCTGTGCAATCTATGTATGCATTCAACACCCGCTCGTACGGTAAAGGAAAACATTGTGAGGAAACCGTCATTCCTAAGACCCAAAAAGTCGACGGCGTTTATCAGGCACTGGGCTAATCGCCTATGAAGATAAAAAAATATAACAGAAATCTGACGCCCAGAACAAGAAGGTCACTGGCTTTTTTCTCCTGGTCTACGTTTTGTAGTCTTGACCGTGTTAGTTTTGAAAACCAACCACAGTTAATCGCGCAGGATCATTCTAAGCTTTAGGATATTACAGTCAACTATTGGTTCTTCGTAACAATTAAAGTTTGGTCAGAGAACCTACCGCTTACAAGGCACACAAGGCCAGTACCGAATCGGAAATATTTCATTTCCACTGAATAAAACAAATATACGTAATCTATAACGAAGTTGTTTAACTAGCTCTTTCGGATGTCATGGCCAACCTGAATTTAACATAGCCGGTTATAACGCGAGACTGATGGTCTACAATAATCATTTTACTTTCATACTCATCAAAGTTCATAAAAAAATATTCCAATTTTTACACAAAGCACTAAAAGTCAAAGAACAAGTATTAAAATGAAAACAATGTATAAATATAATTTGTAGGTTAAATTCCTATAGTGAATCCAAATCAAAATAATTCTATAAAAGATTAGCACTGTACACATGTTGAACAAAAATACATCATCAAAATCTAAACCAATCCTCAAATCCAATTAAACACACAAAAAAAATCAATATCCAGCCGTTTAGGAGTGCAATTACAAACACACAAATATATATACAGTCAAACCTGGACAAGTGAGAACTCAAGGGAACGCGATCTCATTTTCTCTTATAGTGGTTTCTCACTAACCCGTGTTTCTAACAGACGAACATTTGGTTTGAATTAAAAAGAGTCCCTCGAAATTTAAGAAAGTGTCATAAATAGCAAAAGTTAAATACGTTAACTGTCGTTTATACTGGTAAAGGCAAGTAACAATCTCACTTATAGAGGTTCACGCGTGAAAAATGACTGTCACTTATACAGGATTCATTCCCACTTCGAGGTTTTAGGAGGGCAAAATGACGGGCCACGTACTAACTCAGGTTTGACTGTAAAAAGATAACCAATACCAAAACCGGAAGTTAATACTGTACACCAAATCGCAGATCAATATAAAACCTATTTTCGTATCTCGCTTTCCCTAACATGATTAGCAAACTGGTAGCTCTCCAAATTTAAATTCGTCCATGTACTTTGAATGGAGCCGTATGACATAGATAGCAGTCCCTTATTAAAGTGTTTAAAATCCTTCCCTTAAAATGTATATCTTAATATATCTGAATTACGCGTCACGTTGTTTGTCCGCTATGGACTCCCTAAACTGCTTAACCGATTTCTTTCAAATTTGCACACCGTGTGCAGTTTGATCTAACTTATAAGATAGCTAACATCTTAATGTTTACCCGCAATATTATTTTATTACAAATGATTTGTTTATTATTTGACAATCACAATTCTAACAGATGGCGCTGTGTTGAAAGTACCAACGTTTCAAATAAGCTACAATTTATTGGCATAACCACCAAAAAAGCATGGTGGTCCCCATGACTGGTGATCTCCTACCGTTTCCCTTGGATAGTTTACTACTTAGTAATATAACACAAACCTTAGCCACAGCAACGCTTGGCCGAGTCTGCTAGTTAAATATAAATTAAAATCCAAAAAGCAAGGCAATGACAATTTTAAAGCAAGTGTAAAAAGCCGTCAATCATCAACCCGTTCATTTATTACTTCGCTGGAATTCAAACTTACAACCGCTGGATACGGAAACTGTAATGTACTAAACACGCTTCAAAACCAATACATCTAATAAATTATATTTCTTGGCGGCCTTTATGATGTACCAAGGCCACCTTTCTCCACGTCTAAGCTAAAGTTCACATACAAAACCAGTTCTGTTAATAAAATAACTAAGTACATAAAATACGAATAAGTTCCGTATTATAAAAGCCACTGGACAAGATGAATCAATGAAGATTATATTTTTATTCACGAGAATTCAAAGTAATATTTATTTAAATAGAGTAAAATATTCAATTTGCGGAAATTTTTATATATAACTATGTAAATGTAAATGTTAAAACATAATAAAAACTAGGTTATTTTTGTCTCCATTGTGACATATAACACATCAGAAATTATCCCTTGGCGTTGCGTTGGGATGTGCGGTCTGTCTGCATCTTCTACCGCATTTACCATGGAGAGTGTTAAGAGGAGTTGTTCGGATTAATACCTGCAGTAGAGTTTCATCACCGGACTTCGAGGTAGAATACGAAATTCCACTTATATCACCTCAACGTCCGTCGTTCAACAACTGAGCGCTATTTAGGACAGGATTTGCCGCGCACCACCATGTGAAACAAGCTACCCACTGAAGTAATTCCGAACCGATTAGACTTAGGGTCCTTCAAAAGAGTGTACCAATTCTTAAAAGGGCAGCAACGCACTTGTCTACCTTTATAAAATCTAAACTTTCGTTTAAACAGGTATTACATAAAATTATCGCATGCATCCCTTTTAATTGTCTACATATTATGTTTTAATTGTTTTGTATTGTTCTATTCATTATGCCTAAGTTATTTTATATCTTATGTTGGTATGGACTTGCGCCCGCGCCATTTTACTTATGGTTCCTTACAGTTGTTGCCCGAAAGTAATTAGGCCGCCCGTTGCCCTCCTTATTATTTAATTATTATAAGAAATCTGTTTAATTGAATCCGATACCTTGCAACGAAGTGTTAAATAAAATAAATAGAACGTTACCATATGTATGTACAGTAATGAGAATTCTTAATAAAACGATCAACTGTTACTAAGACACGAACATTTGAGTTATATTTTATAATTAGACCATAAACGCAAAATGTATGAAAATATTTATTTATATGAAAGATTTGTTTAGTAATGTATAAAGCATATTCCTTCGGAATAGTAAGTATACACAAAGTATCAACTCAACCATGAAAGACATAATTACAATGCGTGACTTTGATGAATTTTCTATTATTTGGTGAAAATGCCTATAAACATGGAATGAAGTTTCAAGGCTCACCTACTTAAACAAAACGTATACAGATATGAAGACAAGATATTACTTTCTATAACAAAATTGGGGGCTTGTGTCAGAATCACTTTTCAACAGTCGTGACCCATCACCGCTATACCAATTTGTATGGAATTGACACAAGCCTTGTCACGTGACCATCATATAAAATCGATTCTATTATAGAAACAGACAAAAACAAAAATGACGCATTAACGCGATGTAACACAATACAATTGTAGAATGATTAACTTAGTTTCGCATTAGCGCGTAGTAAAAAATGGACAGCGAAATCTTATAAAAATTATTAATTGTCAAACATTATTTTTCTATTGTTATTAAAGTACACCATATCATATATTTCTACCTTATAAGTTACAATTTATCTATTCTATATACATGAAAACTACGGTGAACAAAAAATATTGCACTTCCAACATAGAGAAAAAAAATGGGTAACTACAAATTACTTAGTATGTAATTACTTTAAAAAAATACTAATTCACCTAATGAGGCTTAGGTACTTGATAGATGTAACAACGATTTTTTTTAAATTTACGATTGAAAACCTTAGTAATGAATAAACCTATTGATAAATAAGACTTGCAGTGTGTAAGAGGGTAACCCTCTTATTCATAAAAACGAAATCTAATTGCACTCTTAACTAAAGTACCTTTTCGTCTCTTTCTGACAAATACTATTTACTCCGTGATGAAAAAAGGCAGATTTTAGTTAAAACATGAATAAAATGTAATGTTTTACATCTAAATTTAAATTAAAAGATTTATTTGCGCGTTTTGTTTTGACAGAAAATAAACACATAAAAACCGTGAATTTCTTTAAGCCCATACTTCGTTATCATAGACCATCATCCTATCATCTCATCAATGCAAATATGATTCAATAGGCAATGTGTGAGAAAGTAAGAGATCTCTAATAGATTAACGCGGGTTTATAAGCACAGATTTGGCCGCGCGATGTATTACTTTAATTAGATTATGGAAAAGTATGGCTTGATGTGGATTCCTATAAAGATTACCTTTGTCACAAATGTTTAATATAAAACTATCTCGATTTATATAGAGATATGCATAATGAAATACTTCATTTTATAAATATATAGAATAAAATACGTGCAATTTAATATGCAGTAGCGGAGCTGATTCGGAAAATTATTAAAAAGTTGGCCTTTTTTTTAAGTAAATTAATTTAAACAACATACTCTGTGTCCTGTTTTATGTTTTAGACAAAGATCATCACATCACTTATTAATTCATTGAACCAGTCCAATTAGATTTTTTTAAATCGTATATTGTGTCAGTAGAGGTTGTGCCAAGTGCGAATAAATTGTATATTGCCGCCAATTATTTCTCCCCTATATTATTCGTGTTTGTCACTTAGTTTTTATATTCTACGTTACCGATTTGATTACAAATAAAAAGTAGGTTAGCCTTGTGTGCCTTGCCTAACACATGCCGAATTTTTGTATTTAAGGTTCGGAGCGTACGCCATTTAGCCGATTTTATTCGTTTTTTTCACACCTTGCGTTACACTATCGTAATTTTGTATTGAAAATATTCTAGAATCTAAATTTATCAGCTACAACGTAGAGACCTAATTAAATAAATCTTAAAAAACTACATAATTTCGTAGAAGTATTCGTATTGTAGTTTCAGTTTTTCATGAAATGGCCACCAAATAGTTAAAAGCCGTTTTTAAATATCCCCATTAACGTGTTTTTGGTATCGCGACTTAAGTTAAGGTTAATACCTCTAACAAGCAATAACAATACAATTGGGAATTTAAGATAGGCCACGACATATTAATAGAACATTCAGTCCCATATATAAACGAGGTCTACCTATTTAGAGTATAAATACAGCTATATACTAAACGGACGTAGCGCGAACAATGGTAGGGTTATGCAACCAAAACAATCTTGTGTTACGATCGGCCTAACCTTGAGACGTGAACTTCTATGAAAATTTCTACCATTATTTTCATCCTATATTTAATTTTTTAAAATACATAAGAAAATATTTTTTTATATAATTTCACATTAATTACGTGAAAGCCCATATAAAATCATAAACAATTGTCACTTTAACGGACAGTCTTATTCAAAGTCATATCTGTAAAATGCATAATAAATTATATATGCAAAAAAAAAACATGGGGCAAACGGGCAGAAGGCTCGATGAACACCCACATTGCCAGAAGGCTCGCAAGTGCGTTGCCGGCCTTTTAAGACTTGGTACGTTCTTTTCTTGAAGGACCCTAAGTCGAAGTGGTTCGGAAATCATTCAGTGGGCAGCTGGTTACCACATAGTGGTGGTGCGTGTCAAAAACCTGCCTTATGAAACTCTCAGTTGTGGAACTTCGAACCGTCCGAACAAGCCCTCAGAACACTCTCCATTTTTACACTGTACACTGTTAGTTAGGCTGTTAGCACTAACTTGAATAGAAATTTATTTTAACCGCTTAACCCAATAAAAGGTAAATAAACTATTTGGCAAGCTAGATGTAAACAATTAATAATAATACCAGATAAATCAGCCCTATAACCCCTAGAACCAAAATATTCCATATTTGAATTTTAAATTAAATAAAATATGTACTTTAATTACATTCAAGTATCGGCCACTGCAGTCCATTAATTACTAAAATAATGTCAAAAGCACTCACCATCTGAAGTTGAGTTTCCAATTAAAACCGCCCCACGTCATATCCGAAGCTTGAATGTACTCGAATGTTGAGTCCGAAATTACATCAATGATCGGACATACAACTGTAGTTCTGTCTTCAACGATCCTCGCGAGGAGCGGCTCTAACCAACCCTCTGTGGAAGAAACCGACCGTTTAGTGACATTCTTAAAAACTCACCGAAACACAGGCAAGCATTAATTTCCGTATCATTTTTGTTTTTTATGAGTGTATCAAGCTTCATTGACGCGCCGTCAATTTTTGAATATAGAACGGTTACGGGTACTGGTTTCCTACCGATGTATTTCATGTTGTTAAGTATTCTAAGGCAAGTATTATTTAAATACAATATTTATTGGAATAATTTTGTACCAAATCAATCAAAGAAAACATTGTTGTGTTGATTGGCACCTTTCAGCATTGGAAAACGTGGAGTTATATTAGTTACAGCATGTCATTTCACTTAGCACGTATAAGTTAGGTTGGTCAAAGGGGCTTTGACCGAATTTTGTCGTACTGTGTCGCTTTGACTAGCCATTTTTAGCCATATGAATAAATCAATGAAATATGGTTTTAGCGCGATACACTTACGGAAGCCTCACTCTCTATACTGATTTATCAACTCCGACGGTGGTAGGAAAGTAAATAACGAAAAAATTCATAATTTCTCATGTAGTTTCAAACCGAATCTATAAAGCTTGTGAGGTTTACAAAACTTTTAATTTTCACGTAAGATAAAAAAACATTGTTTATATGTAGAAAGCTAGATATCTCATTAAAATCCATATATACGATTCTACCAGCATCTCTGAAGCTTTTAAAATAATTAGTAGTACTATTTACTTAGTACTTATGCTAAACTCTTGACCTATAATCATAACTTGCCCTATAAAAATACTGTGCATTTTACTAAAATATTTATACCTAGCTATTTAATGAATATACATAATTTACATATACAGTGAAAACTCCATGTAACGTCCCTCCATTTAACGACGAACTCCCTAAAGTGTGGAAATCACTCGGCTTTGGTTGATTTAGCTTGTCTTCCATACAATGATACACTCTACATAGATTTACATCCACTCTCAATAACGACAATTGAATAATAAAATGTACTTTTTAAGTTGCCGAAATTAGTTAAAACTGCGGAACTGTGTACGTTCTTTTGTCGCTTTATTGTCCTGGCCCGTAATAAATTCGACTGTCGGCACCATACGTACCGAACTTTCTAAGAAATCCATTATTTTGATTACAAATCGGGATTGCTTGAGCGTGATTTATCACGAAGATGCCTCAATATCGCAAGATATGAAGAAAACAAGTAAAAAAATACATTAGAATTTCTGGTGCAGCAAAAGGCGTCAGGCGAAAATAACAGACTACATGCAATAGCGTTCAAATAAGAATTGTTTTTTATGTAATTACTAACACTAGTCTGAAATAAACTTTTTCTTTTTCTAGATTTTCCTACTTTCTATTTAACGCCAACTCTCTGTAACGTCAAAATATGCACAGTACCTGGAGTGTCGTTATATAGAGTTTACAACACTGTATATAAATATATAACCCTTGACAGTATCAAAAAGAGTTAAGTAAATGAGAAAAAGTAACATTAATACATTAATTAAATCAACAATTTATTCAAAACATGTCTTAGATTTACATCGGTCTTTATCGTATTATTTACGGCAACAAATGTGCTTTCCATTAATAGGTGAAAAATTGTTTCATGTCAATTACTTCTTATCGAAATGTATGAAACAAACGATTTGAAATAAAATTGTGATATTTATGTATTATAATGGAATACAATTTCTATTAATACTTTCAATATAAATTAAGTATTAAAATTTAACCAGAATTAAAAATTAATGATTTGGGTGACAAGGGCGACCTATATTTTATTTTCTCTTGTTATATTATTTGAAAATCTTGTATAATTAAATTTGAAGGTTATTCAAAATAAATCTGTACTCCATTTTTTACTCTCGAAATTTAATTAATACCTTAGCTAAATAGATTAATAACTTGGAAGAAATGTTGATGAGTTTCCAACAGTTTCCCATAGTTCTTTGCTGACGAAGTCTTAGGTTTTGAATACATAGTTAGTTGTCAATTGGTATTCGTATGAAATACACAGTTTTTCAATAAAAGTTATTAATTACATTAACAGTAACAACTTGAGATGTTTGCAGTTCAATTCGAAAAAGGAATATTTTTACCGATATCAATCTTTTAATTGGAAAAGTTTGTATCTTAATTAACGTACTTTGGGTTGAAAATTAAAGTTACCAGGGCCAATTTTAAATATTCTTTTTTGTTATTTCGATTAGAATTGAAGATTTTTATCAGTTAAATGTTATTTGTCAAATACCGGTAAGTATTCCTATTAATCATATAAAGATTAATTTTAGGTTTAATGTCAAATTTTAGTGTCGTGATTTAAAAAAAAATCACCACTTTTCTATAAGTCGTAAATATTTTGTCGTACCTCGGATTTGAACACAAAGATTATAAATGAAGTGAATAAATGCAACACCCGTTCAAGTTCCCGTTTAACTTCACAATTCTGTTACAAATGTATAGAAATAATATTCGAAAGAAGCCAGTTAACAATTAACACAGCTTCTGGCATCGGTATTGAATATTCATTATCCTATTAATATGTATGAGGCGGGTATATATAGTTCTTAGGGTATTCAGAGTCCTAGCCTGTCAGAAAATGTATTGGATTTTGGCATACGTCTATCATAATTCGTCAGTCTCGTTTCGGAATCTCACCTTTGGAGTTGGGACAAAAAAAAATCAAACATGTTAGAAATAATAATATAATGATAGAGTCATTGCTATAGCTTCATTGTTCTAATAAATACATGAAAATACATTTAACCGTTGCTTCGAGAACGAACAATTTAGATTTTAAAAAGCACAGTCTAAACCAATGTCTCCCAATGTGGGCCCACAGGGGGGCAATATGATTACTAAGAGGGGCTATTCGAAAATTTATTAAAATTATTTGGAATTTGAATTTCAGGTTTTCGTATATTTAAAATTTTTGTTAACAATTTCCTAGTAATTTCTTCTTTAATAGTTAAGATTCTTAAGGGAACGATTTTTTTTTATTATTAAAAATTATGTTTATTACATAAGAATTTTAGTTAAATTAATTGTAAATTTACATTTACTACCAGTTCGCAAGTCAATGGCGTAGAGCGGGCAAGAAACTTTTCACCACTCTTTTTAAACGCTTTGACAGTTTTGAGTCATACAAATTATTTGAACTGGAGAACATCTTACCTGTACACTCGCAATGAGCGTCCAAGAAGGTGATGACGTCACCTTTCACGTGTTTCGCGCCGAGGAGTCGCGCGCGAATCAGACCCGAACGATTCTCCGTACGAAACAAATGCGTCGGCACCGGTAGTGTTTTAATATACTCTTCTAGTTTCTTGCCTAAATGTTCTGTTAAAAAATATATTGATTGAGCCTTTACAGAGCTACAGAAATGTTAAATTTTAGTAAAATCTATATATATATTGTATCTAATATATAAGATAGAAAATATATTTGTATACTTATAAGTCGCATAATTCCAATCCCTCTTGTATTTTTTATATTCAATTGATCGGTGTCGATAATGGGGTGTGTAAAAGTAGTAAATTATTTGAAAAAATAAATGGGTTTGTTAAAATGCAACAAAATTAAAACAATAAACAAACATTGGTATCATCCTTATAAACAAAGATTATATTTTTCAAAAATTACATAAAAATAATTTTTAATTATTATTGAACATAGTATTTTTAAAAACATACATAATAAACTAACTTACCTTTCTCACTAGCATCATCAACCAATATAATTTCCTTCAAAAGTGGCCGCGGTGATCTATTTATTGTACTCCATATAGTTCTTATCAGTGTAGACCATGCTTCATTATGAAAAACTATCACAACACTTGTTGTTGGCAGTAATTGTGGATATGGCTTATCTTTACACCTAGGTTTGCAAAATTATTTGATAATTACATGTTGTATAATAAAAAATGGGTTTTCATGTGTAGGTTATTTTGAAAAATTTATAAATAAACTATCTTTGATGTAGGGTAATCTTATTACACTGGTGGTATTTGATGTATTTTTTTGATTGTAAATACACTTAACATCCATTATCTTTTTTTATACCGTTTTAGTTAAGACAGTGTACTGTAACTAGTTTTTCTTCTGAATAACAGAATTCAATTTTGATAAATCTTATTCTTATCTCCTGCCTGTCAAATCCTAATAGTATTTTGCATGAAGTTCATAACTTGCCCTTATACTAATTGTTTAATTTCATTCTGTTATTATTATTATTATATATATATATATATTAAAAATTAGATGGAATTCCACATTAATTAAACAAGGATACTATGAAATCTTCTGCTACATTTCATAAAATATTGCAGGTATTTAACAACTTCAACAGAAATGTAAATGGAATTTAAATATTAGAAAATAGAGCAAAATTAAATGTAAAATTGTTATTTGATTTTTAGTACTCCATGAATTGTAATCAGTAATAAAAAAACTTGTTTGATTAACAATACAATAATATTGACTTACTTTTCAAATCTAACATCAGTCAATGACCTATTATACGAGATCATGTCACTAGCCATTAAATTAAATTGATTTTCCTGAAATTTCTCCAGCATTATCTTTTCCTGTTCTATTGGAATGTTTACTGGTTTACCTATAACAAAAAAATACAGGTTTTTCTCAAACTCAGGCTCATTTTTCAAGCTATGAATAAAATGAGAATGAAACTTCGTGATAATTCACATTTGAGCTTATAATGAACAAATATGAACTAAATTGTGTTATTTTTGTAGCATTACCCATTTCTCCTGGTAAGTCTCCTTGAGGTTTTATTTGTGGAGAAGGCTTCCACTTCTTAAGTCTAGATCTGGGATATGAGGGCAAATTTAACCCATCATCACCAACTTCTGGTTCTACCTCATTCTCCTCCAGATTTGTGTCATCATCACCTACATCTCTATGTAATCCAGCAGCTATCGCAGCCTTTTTGCCTCTTAATTCTTCTACATCCTATAGTTATTAATTAAAATTACTTATAAAACAATTTATATACAAATAACATTAAATATCCAAATCGTGGGTGTTAATTATTTTTTTAACACTAAAATAATCACTTACCCTTAATCCATAATCGTTTGTTGTTTTCTTGTTGCAACCATCACCAAAACAGTCGGAATAAAAAGTTAATATTGCAACATCAACTAACAACCACACAAGAGATGTAAGGAGGATAATTCGGCATGTGTGTATTCTTATTTTACTTCTAAACATTTTAACTAATAAGATTTACTAGTTTATTCACTGCCACATGTCAATTTTAACACGCGAATGTCAGTGGTAAGACCATTCACCTGAAACAATGAGACAAAGATTTTAGGAATTTAAAGACTGGGCACTGGGCATTCATGTATGTTTTGGTTGAAATGCAATTTAGCGGCTTACACTTACAGACACGTCTACTTCATGAACAAAGTTATTTTAAAAGTAGGTTTCCGGATATTATAATTTTACTTCAATTTGAAACATAACATTAGAAACAATTCCCTACACTGCCTTTACCGAATATTTTCAAATTTATTAAATAGTTAAGTTTACCAAAACTTACGCATATAAGTTAATTATTTTTAATCACTAACGACGAAGCTTACACTACTCAGCCTCCATTCAGGCCAGCAATCAGCAGTTTGTCTACTGCCCTGTGGAGTGTGGCCGCCAGGCGCCAATTGCCATCATTTGACAATGACATTGGCAATCATCAAATACGCATCACAAGTCACAACCTATTTTCTATGGTCGCAACTATCATGTATTCTGGGGGTCTAGCCAAGATGGCTTAACAGTAGTGTATGTAGAAAGTCGAAAACTAAATTTGTATGAAAATGACAGCTCGTGTCGACAGTCGGTGGCCTAGGCCCTAAAGGCGTGAGTCGGGATACAATAAGCGACGTCATGACAGTGCTACGAAAAGACACACATTAACGCTTACGCTATTCGGTAGCCAACGGCCAATTAATGTTTCGGCAGTGTAGAAAAAACGGCGTTTCTCCGCCATGTTTTAGCGTGATCTCAAAAGCTGCTGTTTGCAATAATTCAGTACAACTATTGCCATCTTTAATGGCTACCGTTTTAAAAACATGTCATATTTTGGACGTTTTAACGAAATGGTTTTAATTTGTTATCTGTCTTTTTTAACGTTCTCGTGTAATTATAATAATTTAAACTAGAGTTAATATTTTTAAGTTAAGAGTTTTAGTTTTTCTATGAATCAATGCGAGGATAACATAATAGACACAGATAAATATGAAAATATCAAGAAAATCAGCAAATTAGTAGAGGTAAATCCTAGTTATATTGGATATCTTTTATTGATATTTATATTGCATGTAAGTTCATGAAATTGTTCTTTAATTTGAAAAACACAAATACCATTTAATATTGCATATATTATGTAATCACAAAGTAAAATTATTGTACATAATACATTACTGTAACGGGTAACTGACAAACAAGGCAGTGTCACTTATATTATATATATTTCTTTTATGGCTCTGGCACGATTTGTGCATTAGCCAGCGTCAAGTATAGGAAATTTTATAATTCGTGCTTGTCTTTAGAAATTCGACCGTGTCCTCCATGTACGATTTAAGCACTCGCCCGGTACCGCACAACCCTCCGAAAGGCCGAGAACAAATTTCAATTAAAACTTGCCCTCGAACCGGGAATCGAACCCGGTACCCCTCACCTAGCTGCCACTTAATAAGACCGCTAGGCTATGAGGCCCCTATATATTATATTTAAAGTCGGAAACATACTTCATTTTTTTTTCTTTTTTTATATTATGGCAATAGTTTTGACTTTCTAGGAAACATAGTTACGTATCGTGGCGTGTCGTGATGCTTACTGTCGTGACGGTAGTGATGTGAAAAAATAATCGATTACTAAAAAAATCTTTTAAAGTCGTTTTTTTTAAAAGTAAAAATCGAAAGGATGATAAAACCAGTTTATTTACAAAAACTCAAGTTTGAATTGAACACTATAATTTAAAAGTAAAATAAATTTATTCAGCAGCACAAGATAACATACAAATAAAAAGACAACAAAAATACTGCAATGTGCTACTGAAAAGGCATACACTCAGCATTTATCAAATTTCTAAAACCTATCAAAATGAGATTAAGTTAATTTCGATTTTGATTATTCTTAAACGTTAGTTTGTGTTTATAATTTCTATTGTTTATTTTTAATTAAAAAAACCATGAAAAATAAAATATTTAGGGTGTTTATTTTGAAATTAATACAAAAATTAGGAAAAAATCGATTAATAAAAAAAGGGTGCGTGTACTTATGTCCGCGCGTAAGAAGTTATACTTCTTTGGCTTTCTTTTAAGTTTACTTCTTTAGGCCTTATAAAAATTGATGAGAGTGAAATTTTACGATTCCCCCCTTACACAAAATTGCATTGATATACTCCAGCGAGATGGGAATAAGACAAACTACAAGTAAAGAAATAGAATATCTAACTAACTTCACCATATTCTAGCTTACAGCTTAACAAGAATTTTGAATGACCATGACAATTGACATCTGACAATGACATTTACCTTTTAAACAAATATAGGAGTTTTAATTATTGTTTAAAATTAATAATTATATACCTAGTTATTTTCATTATACAAAATATTTGTGAAATAATATAAAATATTTGTGAAAAAACTGTGCTAACCTTCCTAGTGCTTCAATACAATTGAGGTTAACTATCCGTATGTATTATCGAGTATTATTGTTGATTAAAACTAAACATGAACCATTATTCATTGCTTTTGTTTATTGCGTTTGTTACAGCAACTTTTTAGAAATATTCTACGACCCTATATATCAATAATTGAGAACAAAGATTTAAGCACGAATACTAATAAGGAGAAAATGAAGGCTTGACGATATAATAGAGAAGTAAACATTTTAATAAGTACCTCATCTCAAAAAAATGACCACATTATTTAATCAAAACATCAATTTAATCTACAATATAAGGACAAGAGACAAAAACAATTGATGAATCATAATCACTAAATTGAATACAAAAAAGAGTTGTCATCTTATCGCCTGAAACATCAAAAACTGAGGTGGAACAAAGCCACCATCACCTTCTCGAGACACAATGGTTTGAAGTAGATTTCAATGAATTTGATTGTGATGGTGTCGAGGTAGGAATGTTAATTATAAATATGATGTATGGTGATGTTCAAGGTTCAACCTTTCAAGCATAGGCATATGCTTACAACAGTACCTTTATTCCTCCTACAGGGTAGTTAGAGATATTGTAATACCTCAAAACATCCATGTTGCACTTGTAGTACCGAAACTCTGTCCTGCCAGAAGTGAGCCCATTCCCACTTATAATGGACAGTGGTATAATACACCTTAATACCTGAGTGCGAACCACTCACCATGATACTTAAATTAATAGATGTTATTTATATATTTCAGGTTATTACAAATAAAATCATTTTGGAAACAATTGATATCCCAAAAGCAAATAAAGCCAACAATGACAAGGTAATAAATCAGTTTTGACATAACTTGAATACTAAAAAGCCAAACAAAGGTGTGCACAACAGTGACAACATAACTTAACAATTTCATTATTTTGTAGGATTAAAGAAAGGTTAAAGAAAATCATGTCGAACTGAACAACAAGAATCCCCCAAACAACTCCAAAGAAACCTACAAGGAAAGACACCGGTATTATATTTAAATTATCTCTATCTCTAAATAGAATAAAAGAAAGTTGCTATCCAGGTCTGTAGCATGTGCTACAAATTATATTATTAACACATTTATATAATTATATTAATATAAATGTGTTAAAAATTTATAATATGAATTATAAAAATTTTTAAGTTTTGCATGGACAGAGCTTAAATTAATATTCTCTTATTTTGTTGCAGAAAGCAAGTAGTTTTGGAGAAGCCTCGTAGATGCACAACCAAGTAATGATTAATTTAAAATTACAAACCGAAATTCTGATGAAGACATTAGAGTCACTTAAAAATAAATAGTATAATGAAATAAAAATGTTTTAAAGATAAATAGTGTTTTATTTGTTTAATGTAAGAGAATAATAATAAATATTTATTTAATTAATTAATTTTTCAAATGTATACTGAACTTTATTGACTTTAATGACTCCTTTTCCAGTCTTTGATTATTTAATTGTAATTAATTATTTGCATGCAATCAAAAACTATTTTTAATAATGCCAAAGAAGTATAACTTCTTACGCGCGTACATAAGTACACGCACCCTTTTTTTTTATTTAAATATATTTAATTAATAATAATTAATATTTAACGTAAACAATTTAATAATATTTAATATTTAGTATATTATTCAATTATTAATTAATGTTAATAACAATTATTATTATTATTTATTATTTTATTATATTATTCATTCAATTTAATAACTTGGTATGTTTCATAACCTTTTAACTAAGTAACAATAGGTCTTTGTGAAAAAGCATTGCTAAATTTCTTTGAAAAAATAATTAAAACTCCTTTATTTGTTTAAAAGGTAAATGTCATTATGGTCATCCAAAATTCTTGGCATAGCTGCTAACTTCACGCATATTCTATTTCTTTTTTTATTAATCGATTTTTCTATGCAGAATGTCACATCCTTATGATGGTGAGTATGCAGTTTGCACACTGACGTGTCGTGTCGTGGCGTACTCTGGCGTTATTTCTGAAAAGTACTTAACGAACCTTTGCAGCGTTCAAACATACATAATGTTTTCTTCTGATTCGTATAGTGATTTTGATGAAGACCTTCAATTTCTCTTAGCAATTAAACTTCTAAATACAATTTTATTCACTTACCGGGTTCTTTTAAAATTTCAGCAATTTCTTTCCAAGCAGCATTTCTGATCAATTGATCCTTGTACTCTTTACACTTTGAGTCAAATATAACTTTTCGTTGACGTACAAGTTCTATAAGATCGTCAGTCATTTTGCTGCAAATATAATAAGTCGGCGCAATCGGTGGCGAGCAGTCGGCGCCACGACAGAACGTGTTGCGACACGACACGATTTATAACATTGATCAATAATAAACAAACACAGGTACAAAAACAAATACCAAAAGAACTAAAAAGACAAATCAACAACAATCTGGCAAGGCCTGTCGATGACGCCATGCTGATGTCGCAGCCAACTAGCTTAATTAGCCGTTCAATTAACAGCCTAGCCGTTTAACTATCGAGTTGTGAATATAGACAATATTATTGAAAAATAATTAATAAAATCATAAAGTCCAGCAGTGATGAAGAAGACAATACTAGTTACATTCTGATGGTTCAAATGAAGAAATTCAATTTTTTGGTCAATTATGTACTAGTCCTTTTTTTTAATTTAATTTAGGATAGAAAATATATAGTATCTATAAGTACCTTTTTTATATTAACTGAATTCGATTAACATAATATCTTCTTTTGAAGTCCGGATCAAGTAATTTAAGTCCCGATGTTTTAAAGAGATCACCTCACTATAAAGCTAAAAATTGTAAATGTCAAATGTCATCTTTAATAATAAATTTTGGCAGTAGGCTACTATACAAAGTACAAACTATAATTACCTGCTAAATACTACTCATCTATCCGACAATTTCTCTTATTCAATGGATTTTAATAATTAAGAAATACCATACGGAGATCCCTAATTAGTAAAAACACAAATCGCTGGTCGTAATGTATTGTCATTTCGTAAATTGAGTTGCCTCAAATATTAATTTTTGTTAACTACGAATTCATGGATAATTAATTAGGAAATATTAATAGCTTTTTCAATTAAAAATGAATAGAACTAAAAGTAATAACTCAAAAACTGAGTGTAACAACGAGAGTGAAATGAGTGCAAACGTGTACAAACTTATTACCAATGAGGATAAACCACCAGATATAAAATATGATAAAGAAAACTCGTGGATCGCTGCAGTGCAAATGTTTGTGTCTTTCCTTCTTGCTGGGTTTGGTATGGTTGCAGCAAGCCTTCTCTTGGATGTGGTTCAACACTGGGAAGTATTTCAAAAGATACCAGGTGTCTATATACTTGTACCAGCTCTCTTGGGACTTAAAGGAAATTTAGAAATGACTTTAGCATCAAGAATGTCAACACATGCTAACATGGGCCACTTAGGTGCCTGTTTGAAGCAGTTAGTTGTGGGTAACCTGTGCCTTATACAGTGTCAAGCAGTGCTCGTTGGATTCTTAGCAGCCATGGCTGCAGTAGCAATGGGATGGATACCTCAAGGCTTATTTGATATTCACCAGGCTATGCTGCTTTGCGCATCAAGTGTACTTACTGCATCATTTGCAAGTTTTGTGCTTGGACTCATTATGATTGGTGTTATTGTAGTCTCCAAAAAATTAAATATAAACCCAGATAATGTAGCCACACCAATTGCTGCTAGTTTGGGTGATTTAACAACATTGGCACTGCTATCATGGATTTCTTCAATGTTATATAGATCACTTGGCACAAGTCTTATATTGCCATCTATTATTATCATTATTGGGGCAATTTTGGTCCCTGCTTGTGGATATGTTGCGTCTCAAAATAAGTTTACCACTCAAGCGTTAGATGAAGGATGGGTTCCCGTTGTATCAGGAATGGTTATAAGTAGCACTGGAGGTTTAATATTGGGTTATACGGTGTCAAATTATCAAGGTGTTGCTGTGTTTCAATTAGTAATTAATGGTATAGGTGGAAATATGGCTGCTGTACATGCTTCCAGACTATCTACATTATTTCACACTGGACAAAAGGAAAAATACGTTATAAGTAACACAACTAAATTGTTGATGTTGATGGTGGTGCCTGGCCAACTTGTTTTTGTTTACACAATTGCTTATCTCAAAGCAGGTCATACTTCTGTAACACCTATATTTATTTTAATTTATGTGTGTGCAGCACTATTGCAAGTATTTATTTTGTTGATAATTAGCCATTATTTGGTTCTGTGGATGTGGAAATTAGGGTTAGACCCAGATAATTCAGCAATACCCTATTTAACTGCTCTAGGTGATTTACTTGGTACAGCATTGCTTGGTGTAGCATTTTATATTCTGTTTGCCATAGGGGATCAAGACAGTGATCTAGGTGATTGACTATACATTTTTATAAATTTATAAACTAAGGCTATTTAATACTTTTACAATGATTAATTTCATCTACCTTTAGAATTGTCTAACAATTTTGTTGTGATGAATGTACTTATAATTAAATATTTTTAAAAAAATACATTAATTGAAGCAGTGTATGGCCACATACAGGAAAAAAAATAATCTAGAACCTGCTTATCTGCAAGACCATTGTCAACTGTTTTTGTCCTATGTATGCTGCTGTTATATAATAAAAATATTTTGTATAAATATATTGAGCCATAAGTACTTTAAATTGGTGCTAATACTGTACTTTTGCATATCATACTTTTATTATTAAATATTTTTATATTGAAATTTATTTCATTTCAAGTATCATTTTATATAGTTCAATTATTCTCTACAGGTAATACTTGCACTATACCAATAACTATGTATACAATTTTAGAGAGTAAAGTCCTTTTTTAATATGAATACATAAAAACATCTTTAATACTGTATAGTTAAAAGCAGCTAATAAAACTCAAGACATTTTGTAAATTATTTTATTGACTTATTCTAACATTTACTTGACCTCACGTAATCTTCTGACAGCTGAACGACAGGATGAAGCTGCAGTGGTTGAGAAAACCCAGGCCCCACCAGCTACAGTTCTTTTACAACGCTTGCATGACCAAATACCCACACAGCTACGTTTCATGGCATCCTAAAAGAATAAAGTGTGGTGTAGTGAATAAATGAACTATTGCTATTTCACATTTAAATAGCATAAAATCTTTTCTTTAACTCTTAAATTACAATGTTTTTACAACAACTTATTTGTGATCAAAACATAACCTTAATGACATTAAGATGTGGAGTAGTTATATATCTCCTAGGATTAAGTCAAGCTTTGAATCAATATTCAAAAAACTATTTTTAGTTAAATTTATGTACAAGTACGAAGTGGGACTATGATAATAATGAAGAAGAAAACTAGTACTTACTTTTCCACAGAAGGAGCAAGTATATTTGGCGTGTTGGGTCACTTCCATTTTTTTGACCATTTTACGAAGGGAGGCACCGTAACGAGTACCATATTTGCCAGTAATTCCAACCTTCTTGGTGCGTTTGGCCTGTAAACATATTCACCACTGTAAGATATATTTTTTTGTAGAAAATAACACTCACGCTAGGAAATACAACGGGAATAAACAAATAACTTTAATAAGCACTCGATATAATTAAATTTTAATAGATAAGCGCGAACGATTTCCATAATAATTGAGAATTAGTTTCTCACCATTTTTACGAGAAACCTGCCTAACAATACGTATGACAGAAAAGAGTTGTCATTTGTAATTTTTCTCCATTCTTCGTTTCTTTGATGAATGACAACTGACAACTATCAAATAATTGACAACTGACCTGAGAACCACAGCTACCGCCTACCGGGAACCAATTCCAGGGGCCTTAGTCAAGATGCCTTAACAGTAGTGTATGTAGAAAGTCGAAAACTAAATTTGTATGAAAATGACAGCTCGTGTCGACAGTCGGTAGCCTAGGCCCTAAAGGCGTGGAGTCGGGATACAATAAGCGACGCCATGACAGTGCTACGAAAAGAGACACATTAACGCTGCCGCTATTCGGTAGCCAACGGCCAATTAATGTTTCGGCAGTGTAGAAAAACGGCGTTTCTCCGCCATGTTTTAGCGTTATCTCAAAAGCTGCTGTTTGCAATAATTCAGTACAACTATTGCCATCTTTAATGGCTACCGTTTTAAAAACATGTCATATTTTGGACGTTTTTACGAAAATGGTTTTAATAATTAATTTGTTATCTGTCTTTTTTAACGTTCTCGTGTAATTATAATAATTTAATAAATTTAAACTAGAGTTAATATTTTTAAGTTAAGAGTTTTAGTTTTTCTATGAATCAATGCGAGGATAACATAATAGACACAGATAAATATGAAAATATCAAGAAAATCAGCAAATTAGTAGAGGTAAATCCTAGTTATATTGGATATCTTTTATTGATATTTATATTGCATGTAAGTTCATGAAATTGTTCTTTAATTTGACAAATACGTATACCATTTAATATTGCATATATTATGTAATCACAAAGTAAAAATGATTGTACATTTTATTTGTATATTTCAGATGAGAAAGCAGTCACTAATGAACATAATTAGAAGTTCTAAATATATTTTATTGTAATTATAATAGAAGTTGATAATGATATAATATTGATTTAAATTAATCAAATAAAGTGGATTTATACTTTATGAACTTTGGAAATATAAAATCTAGTGAGCAATACTAAATAATGGTAAGCAGATATTTTCTTTAATTATTTACTAAGTCAATATACTAGAGAAGTTATTATAATATTGTTAATGAATGAGAAGTTTGAATTCAAGTCCCTTGGGAGTTACTGACATTGTTTGGTTATTAAAAACTTTAATTGACAATAAGCAGCAAAGTGACAAATTAAGTATATTTTTAAGTTTAGAATTAAGTAAAGAGTAAATTAAAGTTACCTATTGAACAAACCTTGGACCGATCTTAGTTTAGTTTGTCAGTTTTCTATTTGATCAAAGTACTAACTAAAATATTTTCTTTTCAGAAAAAGAGAAGCTAATAAGACAACTAAAAATATTTAAAAAAACCACAAATGGACAAGTTTTATTAAAGTCTTATCTTTTAATTAATTTAAGTGTTATATTATGTACCAGAAAATGGGGAATGAAGCATTTTATGAATAATGTAAAAAATAAGACAAGTGGAGTATGAAATAATGGTTGGTTAAGTAACATTACCTCATGAACAGGAAACAGTAACTGAAACTATGTTCTTCCACATTTAATCTTAATAAATTCAGCAGTTTGAATGTTAATGAGATATTATTATAAACAAACTGGATTTGTAGATTTTGGGAAGAATTATATCTTTAAAATAACTATTATTATTTACAATTGTTGTGTTAAGGAAACAATCACTGTGTTTTTTAATCGCCCAGGATGTATTCATAGTAACTGTAGGTATCATAGTAATTTTATGAAATCATCACAAACATCTAACGTTAGGTTTTATGAATTGAACAATTTTTTGTATATAACAGCACACAAATAAGATATTGACTTTGCTGCAAATTAACACTTACATTTATTAGTTAATTATCTACATATATAAATATGAATAATTGAATACATCTACATTAGGTAGTAATGCATTGAATTTGGTGCACCTGTGTGTGTTCAGTAGTAATGTCTGTATTGTTTAACAAGTTGTTATATATGCTTATTTTTCTATGTAGACTGCATTATGTTAAGGAAGATATTTGGTGCCTTATTTTAATAAAAAATAACCATAACTGGAACATTTTTTATTTTGCTACCTATTTGTTTAATATTTCTAACTATTAGTAGGTACGGGTCATTCATATATGCATTATCTGTATATTCTTGTAAAAGAAACTTATATTGTTAACCACTTTAATGGTTTTTCTTACTAAAGAAGACATAGGTAAATTACCAAAAATAAAACTGACAAATACATAACATGCAATGTTTATTCATTTCTTACTTAAACAGATTTGGCATTTACATATTAACTAGTAGCAAATCACTGATATAACCAAAACTTAATTGACATAAATATTAACTTAAAATCAGCATCAAACTTAAATTTATATCTAAGATGTTGGAGCATCAATATGGAATCAAAGGTTGAGTAAGGCTTATAATTTCATACCAGACTAAGTTTCTATTTTATAATTTTTATTAATCCCTCTTTTCATTTCATTGAGTACTTGCTGCTTTTCAATTCTCACTTTCTAAAAGTATACATTTATTATAAACAATCAACCTTTATGACTCTAACTTAAACTAAAATTGTTTGTTGGACATAAACAGAGATAATTCCAACTAGTAGCAAATCACTAATAAAATCTACACTTATATATAAATCTGCTTTCAAATTGACATTAAAAATGTTCAAGCACAAACACCAAACCTAATTAAAGCTTAAATCAAACTCTAATTTCAGTGTTCACACTAGTCTACGTTTTTTTCTATTATTTTTTAATTTCTTGGACTATCCTTCTATTCCTTATCAACTTCTAGTCAACCTTATTTTCACTCTTTATTTATCAATCCACAGTACTATTTCTATTGTTTCTTCTAAGCGGTAACAAAATATGTTGCTTCTTCATTTTGCAGATTAGTTGTGAGGTCAAATCCTAAAAATATCAAAGTATGAGTACTACTAATTATTATATATCGTGATTATGCAATTTCAAAATATTGTATTTATTTGTAGCCTTAAATTTCTGAGAAAACATGAAACAAACCATAAGTAATTTAAACATGCAATTAAAATTCATATATTCACTTTACACCTTCAGTAAATTCCACTTAAATCGAAAATTGTTCCGACCTTACTGACATTCTAATGTCCCTTTTGCAGCTTCCAATAATTGGAATTTGCAATTATTGCAAATTAACAATAATATTGTAGTTTTAACTTTTATTTGTTTATAAAAAGTGACATTAGGAATACATTTAATCCAGAGACAATATGACGGAATAAGGTGCTACGAACAGCAGCTCGCATCTACGCTGTCGACTTTGCGGTAATGTATCGACATGCCTCTTGGCTACGAACGAAGGCGTTTTCGACAGTACAATTACGCAAAAGCGGTAGTGTATGTAGAATACTTTTCGACACCAATATGGCTAGACCCCCAGGGGCCTTAGTCAAGATGCCTTAACAGTAGTGTATGTAGAAAGTCGAAAACTTAATTTGTATGTCAGTTCGTGTCGAAAAGTTTTCATACAAATTTAGTTTTTGACGTTCTACATACACTACTGTTAAGGCATCTTGACTAAGGCCCCAGAGTACTTTATAAACAGTGCAGTCGCTGGATGGCTGTGATTCAATTTTCTAAAGGTGCGCATACACGAGGGCAATAATTGCTCGGCGACACGAATGGACCGATCTGGAGCAATTTCAATAAATTAATTCGGCAATATTGCTTCTAATTGTTCCAGATATTTCATATCGCTCAATGTCGCAGATACGAATTGACGAATATCCAATGGACTTGGAAATTCCTAGCAATTTTTGGTATATATCTCATTCGCACTTGTTTGTTTTGCGGCTTGCCGTCTTGCTTCCGCGGGGAGAGCGAGAGGTCTAAATAATAATAATAATTTCTAATTACTTTATTCAAAAGTAATTCAAAGTCTGTTCGTGACATTTTAGTAAAGTTTTTGAATAATATATCATCTAATTTTTTACACAACAAAAATTGCGGCCTCTTTGCCAAAAACGATCGCACCCAGATACGCCTATTCCTTTTCTTCCTTTTTTGTTTTTGATTAATAAAAATGGCACTTCAAGCCGCCGCAGCAAGAACAATGTCGTCCATAGCGAGCGAATACTGAAATGCTCGTGAAGGACAGTACTGCCTAGTTGATGAAGTTGCGCCATATCGCTCAATATTGTATTGCGCAGTATTGATGCTTGTTGCCGTTGCCGTAAATTGCTTGATGTAGTCGTGACGTCATAGTTGACGAGTATTGACTGGAATTGAGCAATTTTAGTTGCCCGTGTAAGCGCACCTTAGAAGAATGTAGTTTTAAAAACTGAAAATTGCCGACGAGAAGATAAATTTACATCATTGGTATGAAGAATCACCATATTTAATAGTATTGATAGTTTGAAACTACAGAGTAAATATCAATGTCTAAACTACATTGACATTGATTTACTTGGCAGACTTTTTAAATGATAATGTGCGAAAACGTTTGAAGTTGACTGATTGAACCATTTCTTCGACCTACAAATTGTTAAAGGTCGATTTCGGCTTTAGAAAACCGTCCCGAAAATCTGGACGGGCAAAAAATTTTAATATAAAAACAAACATGTTGCGAACGATTCTTGTACGAAACCAAGTTTTAGCTGATAGCGTTAAAAAAGCTATTCGGTGTAATGTCACGAGATGTTTGAGCACAGAATTAGCCAGGAGGAAACAAGCCAATAAGTAAGTTCTCTTTTAGAGTGATTTTACTCGTTATTATTGATTTCAGTGCCGTACATATAGTGTTTTACTTTATCGTATCAAGTTTATTCAAAACAAATCAATTGGTACTAATTTTGCAAGTTCAAACTTACGGGAATTGCATAATCGTAATGTCAAAACCTTGGAAAATTACATTGGTGGAAGCATGTGCGTGTACCGGTCTATTATCCGATTCACAATATGTTATTATTTTCTTATTCATTCGTTTATGATGGAAAAATTTCTTCCATTAAACATTCGCTAAATCATCATATCCTTGATCCTTCATCTATCTGTATTTTATCAAGTATAATCAATTTTGTGTCATATTTGAGTGTGTACAAAATTGAATAACAACTGTACTAACTATTTACTCTTAGTGAGCACACAAGATTTCTGATTTTGTGAGAAATCTTAGAATATTGGTGAATATTTTTTCACATCTTTCAGTATTCTTATTAAACACTTAGCATTTTATGCTTAAGCTTCAAATTTAAATGGCCTATATCAATTTCTGGAGTAAAGTAAAATTCAAAAATTTACAGATTATTATCTCCATCACATCAGCAGTTATCTGCAACTCAGCAATGGAGTATACAAGTAAGGCATTACTCAGATTTCCCTCCACACAACAAAGTAAACCTACCAGCGCTTTCGCCAACTATGGAAAATGGATCTATAGTTAGCTGGGAAAAGAAGGAAGGTGACAAACTTAATGAAGGTAAAGTATAATTTTGATTGTTAGTAATACATTTTAATATATTACTTTTCCAATATAATTATATTAAAATGTATGTGAGGGCTTTGTTTTCAGAAATAATCAGTGTAATCCTGGTAAAAACATACCTAAACTTTTTTATAAAATTGTTCTAAAATTGTTCTGTGGCAAATATATGTAAGCGGTTTTGATCCTAGTTAACTCAACTATTGGTAAAAATCGTTACTATTAGTTAAATATCACAAAATCGTTTTTGATCCGTGGTAAACATCCAATGGTATATCTAACCATTAGTCAAAAAAGTTAACTACTCAGTATCGGAGGGTTAAAAAATGGCCGCTGGTAATTTATATAGTAACACTGTTTGTCACAAAACAAATATATAATAGTTTTTACTATCTAATATGAATTTAAACATATGGAGATACTTTAATTAATGAGACGATGAAGAAGACGATAATATTATATGAGAATGTGTTAATGAGTGACAAAAATATTTAGGCAATGTCATCCGCCATTAGAAACCTGGATGATGTAGATTTTTGTCACTTTACCCCTATCGAAGGGAACATCTTGATTGTTACTGAAATTGGGAATGATCTTAAACTCCAACAAAGTATATATAGACACACTCATCCAACCTATTTTCTTCTTACTACCAAACCGCACAGTTTATTAAGTATATTACTAATTCATTATGTGTTTTATTCCTATATATTAACTTATAATTATTATAATAAAATAAAATACAAGACAAGAGTATATATATAGACACACTCATACAAACCTATTTTGCTTCATTACTAGCTACAGAACCGCAGCAGTATATAATTAAGTATATTACTAATTCATTATGTGTTTTATTGCCTATAATATTAACTTATAATTATTATAAGTTAATATTATAGGCAATAGAATACATAATGAATTAGAGTTAATATTATTTATATGTTACTAATAATATTAACTTATAATTATTATAAGTACATACAAGTATGTACTTATACTAAAAACTACAGCTACACATTAGTTTGAATGTGATATTGTATAACCTATGATATTCTTTAGGGCTTTTATTACATTTGTGAGTTAGCATCTACCTACTTTATTACAAGAATTTATAAATAAAACATTTGACTTGATTAATAAACTGTTTAATTATAACTTAAATACAAACCATTTTTATTAAAAAAACATTACAAAATTTACATGAAACCCTAAAGTAGCAATTAAATATTTTCTAATTGTTTCTTCTTGCATTTCACCTCAATTTGATGCAACTCTTTTTGCTGCTACATATATTTATTGTGCCTTTCTTCCATCTGCTGCATCACTTTTTGGTGCACCTCCTCTTTATGCAGTATGAATTTTTGGTGGGCCTCTCATTGGTGCAGCAAATGTTTTTGATGCTCTTCCTTAGCATAATTGAACAAATCATCCTCTCTTATTTGTCTTTGTTTCAAAAACTCAATTTTTTTTATCCGTGTGGATCATAATCCGCTTCCTTGTTTCCAAAGGGTTAAAAGATTTTTTCCTTTTGTTGTAGGACACACTATACAAGAATAAATATAAAAATTGCCTAACCTTCATTAAATGTATATTAAATTTAACACTTCGGTGTCTAGACCCATCTGAGTTGAAAAGTCACAAGATTTCCAAGCTGCATCTTTTTGTAGATTGCTGCAGTGATCAGTTGTTTGCAGGTTACGACTTGTAATCCTTAGAAGCATACCTGTTTGGCATTTCTTTTTGGCGAAGTTACAGTATGGTCCCTTTAACAAAACATAAATGTATTACTTTCTATTACGAAACACAAATAAACCGGAATAATACAGAAAATATGTTTGTTCTTACTTATTTGACCGTTGGCTGTTCGGACATCGTTATTTATATATTTAAGTATCGTAAAAGTGTAAACCGTATTAAATCACAGAAAAAAACTTTATTTATATCGTGTTATTTAGATTAATTTGACACTTCAAACTCTTCAAAGGCAAATAACGAATGAAGATGGCAAAAATGGATTCATTCACTCAATATGTCTAGTGTTGTCATACAAAATAAATGTTCCCCACAAAAAGAACCACATTTTTGGGATGTCATTGCTCATTGCACTGCAACAAATTGACAAATTGTTAAGTTTAACTATAGTTAAAAAAGGCATTGAAAACTTACGATTTTACCAATGGTTATTCATTTAACTATAGTTAATGTAACAAATGGTAAAACCATTTTTTACTACGGATCAAAAAACTGCCCTTAGACAAAATTAAAAATATAAAGATATGTTTTACTAACTATTCTTATCTTAATATCGCTGAGTAAAATAAATAAATTACTGTTCAAGGTGACCTACTATGTGAAATTGAGACTGACAAAGCAACTATGGGATTTGAAACTCCAGAAGAAGGATATTTAGCTAAGATCTTAATTACTGCTGGAACAAAGGGTGTTCCTGTTGGCAAACTTCTTTGTATCATTGTTGAGAATCAGGCTGATGTTGCTGCTTTCAAAGATTTTAAAGATGACTGTAAGTAACATAATATGTTAAGCCTGGCAATGAATTAATTTGTGTTTTTTGCTTATAAATTGCTGCTTCTTTGCATGTATGTACTAGAATTAAAGTATTGATAATATAATTTGGTTAATAAATATTGTTATTGTATACTAAAAATAATGTTAAAAAAGGCAATATTTTATGTGTAGTTAATATAAATAATAAAGTATTAATTTCTTTCGATTAACATAACTAATACATGGATATACCCACAGCATCAAGTGCACCCTCCAGGCCTGCACCACCAAAAGAAAAAGGTTCTTATTGAAAATTTCACTCTTATTCTCATATTAACATGCATGTTATCATTATTTGCTATTGATTGTATCCATTACATACATTACAGTATCTTCATACAGCATTCATATTATTATAGCCATTTTCACAGTTGTTGATTCATTTTAACCACACATTGGTTGTTGGCAAAAGCAGATCATTGATATGAATGTCAAAACAAAAGCCAAAGTAATTATAGTTTTGCTGGAAATTAAAGCAAGGATCTTCAAATATATGTACTTCATTTCAACGAGACCACTATGATGGCCTTATGTATTGGGCTGTGACGGAATTTCGTTTCCAGCAGCTGCAGCACCTGCCGCAGCATCCCCAGCTGCAGCTCCTGCACCTGCTGCTGCTGTCCCAGCAGCCTCAGCGCCACAACCGGCTGCGGCCTCTCAACCAGTGCCAGACCAGCATAGCAGGATTTACGCCAGCCCTATGGCAAGAAGGCTAGCGGAGCTCAAGAATATTCGGCTAGGCGGTAAGTTACTTATTAAGATATTTGTTTCGAAGATTTCAATAATTGAAAATCTATTAGGTAGGACATTATTTCGAATTCGAATCGAAGTCTATGTTAAATTTGATGTAAAAATTAGTTGTTTCCAATATAATCTATTTCTATTTTTAATATCATAGTTACTGGACTAAATGACATTACCAATTCCATTGCAATATTTAAATTACATCCTATACTATCATGGTACATATTGATTACCAAATTACCCCTCACAGGCCAAGGGTCTGGGCTGTATGGTTCAGTGAAGAGTGGTGACCTCGCAGGAGCAGCACCAGCACCAGCACAAGCACCTGTATCAATACCAGCACCAGCTCCAGGTGCCACCTTTGTGGATATCCCACTCTCCGGTATGAGGGAAACAATTGCAAAGAGACTGTCAGCCGCTAAGCAGACAATACCCCACTATCAGTTGTCAGCTACTGTCAATGTAGAGAAGACCTTGGAAATGAGAAAGTCGGTCAATGATCGGCTTGCCAAGGAGAAGTCTGATATTAAGGTAAGGCTTTTACAGTTAGTCTTAATAATTATTTTTTCGTTTATGATCAAATATTATTTGTAAATTTCAGGTATCGGTGAATGACTTTATTGTGAAAGCAGTAGCGGCGGCCTGCAAGCGTGTGCCGGCTGTCAATTCACATTGGATGGATTCCTTCATTAGACAGTAAGATATTTTCTATTAATAAAGCCAGGCCTCCAGAAACCCCCCCGTTCTCAAACAAATTATTGAGTTAATCAGTGATGTCTCTCCATGAGTTTTGTTTCTTACAAAAGCAATACTAATTGTATTGGTATATCCATCAATGTCAATAATTTTAAGGAAGGAGGGATTTATTTATATGTTTAGTATATCCTAACTTGACTATAAAAATAGTTATTAAGTTTTTTAATTTAAATTTTTAGATATAGCAACGTTGACGTAAGCGTGGCAGTGGCCACGCCCACTGGCTTGATCACGCCCATTCTTTTCAACGCGGACTCACGAGGGATTATTGACCTCTCGAAGAATATGAAAGAGCTGGCTCAAAAAGCCAAGGACAGTAAATTACAGCCTCAGGAATACCAGGGTGGAACTGTTACTGTATCCAATCTGGGAATGTATGGTAAGTAAAGGATTATAAGTCGACTCGGTAACAATCTATATTGAGACTGGCTATGTGAGCAAATGTGAATTTTCTATACTTTCTCCTATACAACGCGTTGCAGGACGTACGCCCTGTAATTATTTGAAGATTTAATATCTACAATAATCTTTAGATAATGCCACAGTGTCTTATCTAATTTAACTACTTTGAAAATCCCTAATCGTCCGACAAATATATTTAGAAAATGCTAATTCAATAGACTAGCGACCCGCCAGTGTCTCCAACAAGATAATTTTGTAAAAATCATAATCCAATAGTTGAGGGATAGTAACTATTTATTTTTGGAAATTTTTGAGAACACATCTCTTTATTAGCTTCTATAGATTATTGGCATAATGCTCACGCTCTTCAGAAACGTCGAAATCACACCGTCAAAGACACCCCTATATCAAAATCCAGCTCATTTTTCACTTACGGGTATCAGACTTGGCGCCAAATCTCGTTTCAAAATTTTAAACCTAGTTCTCTGAATTCTGACCTCTCCAATCAGAATTGGACAGGCTTAGTAGCAAGTTAACAAATATCTTTATATTACAATGATGCTTTATCAAATATATCGATAAGACTGATACAATATTTTCGAGGAGGATCTCTTACTTAAAATCAAATCTACCTCTTCATGAAAAATAAATTCACACAATGTGTTTAAATATTTTGTGTAAAAACAAATTTACATTTTATTACTTTTTAGGTATTACAATGTTCAATGCTATCATCAATCCGCCTCAATCCCTAATCTTAGCCTGTGGTGGACTACAAGAGATTGTTATACCTGACAAGAATGAACCTCAAGGGTATGTTGACAAATATATGTGCCTTTTATTTTTAGTTTATTATGTAATTATTACTTGGTGACAATTATTTTTATTTATTTATTTATTTACACTTCGTTGCAATAAAAATAAAAGAAACACAAATAACACAATACATAAAAATTATAAGGGATGCAACAGGCGGCCTTATCGCTAATAAGCGATCTCTTCCAGGCAACCCTAGTTAAAGAGAAAAACTAAAAAAAAGAAACATGATGAGTGCGAGAAGTGCAGAACCAAATGTTATATAAAAAAATAAAATATATAGAACCTTAATCTAAAGTAATACAAAAAAAAATATTAATAACGAACTAAAAACTTAAGATAATCTTACAGATTCATGAACAGCGAATATATAGTATTGCTAGTTAAACATTTGAATAGTAAAGCATGTGTCATAATTTCGCATTTAATTCAGTTATAAATCTGTATTTAAGTGGAAAATGTATAACAGTCAATAAATGTCGTGTTATAGATCAGCTGAACTTAATTTTTAATTTTATCAATGTAAAAAAGTAAATTAATAATAATTTTATTGTAATGTAAATGTTACAAAATAATTATTTTGTAATAAACAATTAATACAAAATAAATATTAAGTTCACTACTATCTAATTGGAATACTCAACGTTACAGTGTGCCTTGATTTGTTGTATTTAAGTAGCTTGATATATTTTCCTTAGTTTACACAATTTTTGAATTAACCGTATCGATAACATTAAATATTTGTCAGCTACAAAACCCATCAACATTTTGTATTCGATTGTTTTTGTAGTTTTACTTCTTTAGGCGCGTTATGAAAAATTGACGAGAGTGAAATTTTACGATGAGCACGCACCGTGACACAAAATTAACAGAATGAAGTTGCCCACGGAAGATGCTACGGCATTGGACATAATTTATAAACAGCATTCGAATAATAATAGAATTTATGTTACACATAATGTAAGAGAATAATAATAAATATTTATTATTTAATTTTTCAAACGTAAACTGAACTTTATTGACTATAATGACTCCTTTTCCAGTCTTTGATTATTTAATTGTAATTAATTATTTGCATGCAATCAAAAACTATTTTTAAATGCCAAAGAAGTATAACTTCTTACGCGCGTACATAAGTACACGCACCCTTTTTCTTTTATTTTATTGATTCGTCAATATTCCAATGTTTTTATACTTATTCTGCTATTCGAGACGGAGACACATACAACAACTATGACAATTGGTCCAGCCGTTTTCGAGTTTTAATTGTTTGACTTTGTTTTATATATGTATTAAGGTTAACCCAAATGAGTTAAGAATAAAAATATTATTAACACAACCAAACGAAATAGCTGATAACATATTTTATTGATTGATGTCATATATTAGTGTGTGTAATGTCTTAGTAAATACATACTTAGTTTAAACAATAACATATAACTTTCAATTAATATATTAATACAGAGGAAACTCTGACTTTCGTAAAACAGCAAAATGGTAATATTGAGCGGATTTTATATTTGACTCTATTGTCTATCGAGATCCTTGTGACTTTTTTAAATTAAATAATATATTCCAGATTCCGTCTAGCTAAGTTCGTAACATTCACTGCATCGGCCGACCATAGAGTAATAGATGGCGCGGTTGGCGCTCAATGGATGAAGGCACTTAAAGAAAACCTCGAAGATCCAGCCAACATGATCCTATAAGTGAACCAGTGAATTCTATAGCCTCTTGTTAGCCAATCGTATACAGCTAGAAATATGCTATAGACTTTATTGCGCACGCAATAATGAACTTTAGCTGTATATAAATATGTTCAAATTATCAACATACAAATTTCATACAATGTGCCATAAAATCTTGTAGCACTGTACTTAAAAATACTAAGAGAAGTTTTTAAAATGGAACCTTTTCTAATTTTTAAATAAAACATGCGTTTGGCTAACCAGAGTTGCATGGGGCAATTTTGACGCAACGAAGCAAAATACCGAAGCTATAGCAAATCTACATTATGTATATTATATTTATTGAGGATAAATTTTTTTTTATAAATTTTGAAATGTTGCCTCATCATGCCCCTATCTTAAATCAATTTATCGGGAAGTGATATGTTTGCTTAGATAATTAGTATTTATTTGAATCGTACGGACCTCGATAATTGATTTGAAATCGTATCCCTTTGTTATATTTATTTTATTTGTTATATTTTTTAGGGAAAATATTATTTAAGAGATTATTGTGTACCAATCGTATTATAGATGTTAAATCAGAATATTTGGATATTGTTTATTAGGGAATTGTAAGCTGGGTAAATTCTTAAAAAATGCCTTTTTTTATTTATGTAAAATCATGTACTTTAAGCGAAGATATTTCAATTTTTTTTGCTTTTTTTATGTATTTTATTAACAAATCGGTTTCATGCATTTTTTAGTTTTAGTGAAATAATAGATCTTTGTAGTTTTTCATGAAAAGTGCACCCAATGTGAAATAAAATTATACAATAAATCTTGTTACCATCAAGGCTGTCGTTTTGATGCTGAAATGTGGTTTTATGAACGTTAGCGGAATATATTTTATTTATAATAATTTTGTTTTATTTCCTAATAATTCCTAATACCGTCATTTTTTTTAACTATTTCGAATCAATAGGATTTTTTTTCTTGCTTGCTGCCGGATACCACGCTTCTTCACGCCATTATAAAAAGATGTCTTTGGTTTTTTAAATGTTTACATAATAATGTCGCTTTTATAGCTTTAAAGTACTTTCCTACATAAGGTAGGTCAAGGACGTGCAATAAAATAAATTAAAAAGTTGCGTGTGAAAATCGCCATAGACTAATGAGAAAACAAGGTTCAACCGAAAGGTGCGTCAGTTGGGCTTGTCATTCATTTTGCAAATAATTCTGCAATTAAATTAATACATCATTATACAAATTTACTTTTATTTTAAATGTATTATTACCAAAATATCAAGTAAAACTTAGTGGAGGGTTTTTCATAATTGTCTAATAGTCATTACAAAATGGCCGACTCAACGGAACAGGAGCTTGAAGGTGATGAAAAAAAGGTGGTAAAAGAAATACCTGTAGTTCAGGATCAAGGTTACTTCATTCACGACACGGGAGATACTTATGAAGGGTTCTTTGAAGCGAAAAAGAAAGATAGAAATGTTAAAATGCATGGTTAGTTGTTTTGTGATCTATCAAAAAAAAAATCATAGGTGGCAAACGGGCAGGTTCATCTGACACATTGCCAGAAGGCTCGCAAGACTTGGTACGCTCTTTTCTTGAAGGACCCTAAGTCAAAGTGGTTCGGAAATGAAAGTGCGCGGCAAAAACTGCCGTAAGAAACGCTCAAATATGGAGCCGAGACCGCGTCTTTCTTTTTCATTGAGCAGTAGTATTTTACTAGAATATCTTAAGCAATAATTATACGTCAATCATATTTATTACTATGGTATTGAATACAATTAATGATAAAATATTTTAAACTTGGCACTATATACTAAATGCAGGTATTACATAGCATCACAATTCCTAAAGCTGTATAAAATAAAAGTATTATCGTTTGAATGAAAACTTGTATAAAGAACAATAGGGCACAATTGATCGCAAGCCTCACTTATTTTTTAACCTACTGCAAAACAGCCGAGGAGTTACGATGCGTTTTTTATTACTTATTATCATACTGCTATGTAAATGGCCAACAACTGCGCTCATACTCTGTAACATTCAATAGCGACATCAAGACCGACGTTTTTGTATGCGACTTCAATGTACTCAAACGTAGCGGTGATGTCGCGACATTGGGATCGCGCGGAATAAATACCCATTATTGGGTAAGGAGGTCTCTAGTATGTCAGAATCCAATATATTTTGTACGTATGGGAGTCACACTTAGCGCTAAGTCTCGTTTCTGAATGTCAACCTAAGGTCTCTGGAAGAAACCGGCATACCGTATACCCAGTACCGTATACCATATATATAAAGTTGACAGGGAGCACAAAAGCTGATCACGTACTTTCCTATTAGAAAAAAAAAACAAATGATAAAACAAATAACAGAAATCTGAAGCCCAGATCCAAAAGGTTGTAGCGCCACTGGCTTTTTTAGGTGATTAGAACTTAGATATGGACACTAGGTAGATAGGTTATATATAGATTTAAAAATATATTTATGAGAGGTTCATCGCCCTATAATCAAAATTATTGAAGCGTTTCGGAACGCTTTTGTCTTTTAAGTTAAATTTAATGAACCATTCACCATTCCACTCCATAACTCGCGTTATGCTCCAATTGTTCAAAATATTAGATCCAATGTTTTTGTTTGGAACGAACAAACGATATTTGATAAATCGCTTTATGGTTTATTGATATGACCCCTACTGTTCGGTTCGTGTATCGTTAGTCTGATAAATTGTAAATTGATTGAAAAATGCACTCACGATCAATAAGCTTTAGTTAAGTTTAATTGTGGATTAAAGAATTGAGGCTAGGTTAAATGTTGACAAGACTAAAAATATACGAGAGCTAACAGGCAGCCATATCTATACTAATATTATAAAGAGCTAAAGTTTCTAAGGTTGCAGGATGATCTCTGGATCTACTGAATTGTTTCAGAATAGTAAGCCGCGTTATTTGTAAGTGTGAAAGTGTCATAGGCTATTAGCCGAAAAATTAGAGACTGTGGTTAGAATTAAAAGCGCTTTAACGACGAGAGATATATGATGTGAGTTGAGCGAATAGTTGTAGAACTTGAACAAACAAAAAAGTTAGTTCTGAAAACTGTTCAATTACATTAAATAAGTCTTCCACCGCATCTATCTGTCAGTTATCGTTAAATTTAAAACAAACTGCTTGGAATTTATTGCGATTTTCACTATATCGAATTATGACGAAGGTTAAGGTATGTAATTTGCCAATGTTTACGATAACGGTTGCCCATGCCGAGCCGGTCGCTAGTTGATAATATGCGGAGTCATCTAGAAAACACAATGAGTCGAATAGTTAGTATTAGCAAAGGGGTGTCCATGGACTGGGACGGCCATTTTGAGCTTTCCGTAGGCTCTAAAAACAATAAAGCGGTTGTGTAACAAAACAAAATTTGTTAGTTACAATAAGCATACCGAATACACAGTAGGTTATCTACTTGATGATAATTATTTATTTAATTTATTAACACTTCGTGGCAGAAACATAATACCATTGACATAATTAAATTAAAAGGAGAGCAACTGGCAGGCTTTCGAGCGATCTCTTTCAGATTCTCTAATTCGAGAATATTAATTACCTTATATAAGCGAGTACTTCTGTAGTAATAAAAATGTGACGGACCACATTCAAATACTGCTAAAATTATTATATTATATTTAGGTCCGGGGGTGTATACAACTGCCGAAGGAGACGTCTACGCAGGCAACTGGGAGGTAGACCGTCTAGGAGGCAATGAAGAATCAACCATAACCTTCACAGATGGCGCTAAATATGAGGGAACACTCAAAGACTGGTGCTACAGTGGCCATGGAAAGTACACATACCCTGACGAAAGCACTCTGCTTTGCGACTTTGCTGAAAACGCTCCCGTAGGAAACTTAAAGCTTATTGATCCAAATGGACACACTTGGTTAGGCAAAGCCGAGCAGGGTTTTGGATGGTTCCAACCGGTTAATCATTTCTATGAGATGTTGGAAAAGACACGCGATTTTAGATTTCGGAAGCATACAAAGAGTAAGGATATAGAAGACGCGGATAAGGTTTCGAAAATTCTAAAATGAAATCGTTTTGAAATTTATACCCTACTAGATTAAATTGAATGGAAATGATTTATTTTATTAATTATTGATGATAATAAACAATTAGGTTATTGTTTAGTATTTTCACTTTAACCTTTGCCTACCGGATATGTTTAACTTGGCAGTAAAATTATTGCTAAAAGAATACCCATTATCGTTCGGGAACAGAGTTTTTGTCGCGCTCAACTATAAAAAACGATATACTAAAATCCTTAACAAACATACAATAGACCGAACCATTCCGCGGTTGAATTTAGTTAACCATATAAAGAGATATGATGCAATAACCAAATCTACACGTCCATCTTACATCACTTACAAGGCGCATACGTGATTGACTATTATTAAACTTAATTCATAGTACTTCATTATGCTTTCCAATTAAGACGATAGCCAAAAAGGTATAACGGTATAAGGCCCATAAGTGGGTCATTTAACTCTAACTTTACTATTGCAACGTGACAGGAAGCCTTCAAGCATACCAAAATGCATATTAAACCGTCTTAGTGCTTAGGCCGCACTGCAAGTGTTTCCGTGAGCGAGGATCAGTAAATTCATAAATTGTAATAGCGATCCTGTTTTTCTAATAAAAATAATATTTTTCTTAATACAAAAATCCCTACATAGTAACCTATCAGGTAGAAATGTGGCTGAGAAGCAAGTGTCAAATCTCCGTTTTCCTAAAAATGAAAAAGCAAATAATGCTTAGACCTGCCCTGCGATTCTGTAACTCACTTTTCGAACTCACACAGCGGTTTTCGCATCGGCGGTCGCTCTGAAATCAGTCGTGAAGCAGTCATTTTATGATTTGGCATTCTGAAAAGGTGGGAGCTTGTAGTTTATTGTTTATCAGAATGCCAAATCATAAAATGACTGCTTCACGACTGATTTCAGAGCGACCGCCGATGCGAAAACCGCTGTGTGAGTTCGAAAAGTGAGTTACAGAATCGCAGGGCTGGTGGGCTTGGCGTTTCCCGGACCCGGGCAACAACTACGCTGGAAATATCTATAATACCTTTAATACGTATATTCTTGTACGGTACAAATTGAGTCAATGTATACTCTGTATGTGGAAGTAAGAGTAGGAATAAAAAGAGGATTTTAATTAATTTATTTTGTTTGTTTGTTTCCAATACAAATTCTTTTTCTTTTTTAATTATTATACTTTTTGTCAACTTAAAAGCTGGCGGTTTCACCGCAGTGCGTCCCAAGCGTAGGAAGCTCGATCAACTTGAGCTTTAAGTGAAATATTTAAACAATACAAAACTGGTTGGTGTTGGGTATAAATGGTATAAGTACCACTTTGAGAAATTACTATTGCACTTGTCGAGTTGATTATAATTGATAACTCTCTTAGTAAATATGGGTAGGTGCGAAGTGTTTGTCGCGAACAATTTTATTAATAGGACAATTTATGGTAGCTATATCTGTATATTTTTCTAAAAAATGCCGTATTGTAGAAAAAATATACGTATACGTACGTAGTCGTGAATCTTGAAGCCTTGTTCGTTGGAGGATCGTTAGTTCTTATCTTGTATTAGCGTCACAGTATTCATGAATCAGTATTTTTTTTTCTGTCTTACATTTTTGAGTTGCTCTATCTGTTTACGGCGTGAAAAGACGGATCGACGGACAAATGAGTACTTTAGTTACTTTTAATAAGATTAGTTCTTATGATTAATCATACAATCCTTAAGGATATCTAAATTTTATACGTTATAAAATATATTACATTTTGAAAAGCTATTAGCTCATTCAACTAGCTGTTGTAGCTTACCCTTATGGTAGTATTTCTATAAGATTATTTAACTGACGAATCAACTTATAAGTAAGATTGTTAGTATATGTGAATAATTCTATAATAATAAGGATAACGGGCCGCCTTATTACAAGCGCTCTGATCCCCCTTAAAATATATCATAAAGATATAATATATAATATGTGAATATGTGAGCTCCACGTATCTACATAATAATTTAATTATCTTCTGCATTGATTTTATTTTTTATAAGTCAGTTTTTTAGTCTAGGTCATGCCCCTCCCAGTAGAGCCTTGATAACCGAACTAGCAAAACTTCCCCCTTTCCCGGACCTGACCCCAAGAACGTTCGTTACAGTAGTCGGAAAAAATTTTTTCTTAAAAGTAGTTTTTACTTTTAAAGTTAAAGGGGCTACTAATGCTGGGTTTACATATTGCCTTGGGACCGCTCTTCGGCCGCGAAATTTAAACATACAGGTTCATTACTAAATCTATAAAAAAAGTCTTCCCATTGTCATAATCTGATCTATTTTAGTTTGGCGAGTCCTGTTGAGGACCAGAAACGCTTTGTCCTATTAATTTCGCACTCTTGAAACCAGGTCATTTTTTTAGCCCACTCAAAGCAGTTGTTGACTTGTAATAGTTTTCTTACATTTGAGCAAATAATCTTAGCTAAAGACTTTGTCTTGCGTTATTTGGGTTATGATCTCCTCATCAGGTATAGGGTTCGGTGCATTTCTCCCCTCCCCCCGGGGCCGGGGCAAAGTGCTTCTATAACACATTACGTAAATAGACTGATTTTCGAAGTCATCATTTCTTCTGATCTATCTTCTGTTGAATTATTTCAACAAGATTTTCGTAAAACGATCATGCCCCCTCTAGCGAAAAATGGCGTCTTTAATTGTGACGCTTTTTATAACATCATGCAAGGTTAAAGCCTCATCGCTTCTTGCTGCACGAACATTTGAATCAGGAGTTTCTTTTTGTAATTTATCTTGACATTTGGATTACGTTTTGATCCATAGGTTGTAAAGGCTACAATTTGGAGGCATGTACAGTACAGAAAGGCCGTCTTCTGTTGTCAAATCTTCAGCATTTGATGTCCGGGGCATTGTCTAAGAGTAGCAATGCTTTTGTGGCAGTCCCATTTTTTTAAATGGCGTTTGACTTCAGGAACAAAATGGCCCCTAAACCACTCGAGAAAATTACCTCGGCTTACCAAACCCCGCCCCGCGCGCCCTGCCCTTCATAATGCACTGTAATTTTACAGTCCAAAAGTTTGGCTTTTTGCCTTCCCCACAACTCAATGGTATTTGTGATTCCCTGTAAGTTTGCGCAAGGCATAAAAGTTATTCGCTCTTTATAATTCGACCCAGTTATCAGCAGAAGAGGCTAAAGTTTTGTCCGGAAGGACCTTCCAAAACAATCCGGATTCGTCGGCATTGTACAACTTTGTTCAGGGCAAAGGTTCTTTTCTTTTAACTCGTTTAGGAATTTTTCTTGGAATGGTTGAACAGCCCGTATTGATAGAGACTTTCTCACCTGACAACTTTGAGCTGACGTATGCCATGACGTTTTTTAAAATTATCACAGCCATCCTCCCTACTTGTAGAAAAATCCGAACCTGTTAGTTTTTATGGAAGAATCTCGCTTTTTCCATTACGACCTCACCAGACAATGGAATGTGGCGTCGTCTTTGTTCTAAAACCATGTGAATTACTCTTCTGCATGATTCTCTGGGTTTATTGCAGAGAGCTTTTGAACCCTGGTCCTTTCTCAGTTTTAGCTATAAAAGATCTCAATTTTTCTATTTTTCTAGAGGTTGTAATTGTTATTTTCCAAGTCATAGTTACACAAAAATGGTTGCCTTCTTTAAACTGTCTAGTATGGACTTTCGGCTATAGTCAAAGTTTCATGTTTACGTTTTGGTGTTGGAACCATCTTTATAACCTCAAAAAACCCCACGAGTATAGAGCAGAAAAACGTGGAATGGACGCGCACGGGGTCGTAACTGCAGACTAATTAATAAACAACATAGCAGCGAGGCGAAGGCGAGGAAGTGGGGTGGGGTATGCAGTTCGGATTATAGCGACGTTCGGATTAGCCTGAGTACGGATTATCGAGGCTCTACATATAATTATCAAATCAATAAATATTTTAAAAGAGTAAGTATGGAGTTTCTTACCCATTCTTCTCCATACGAAACTACCTTTTGTAGGGGCTAACTAGTCATTTTTTTTATTTTTTTTGACTTTCAAAAGTGCCTTTTTAATAGGCCTAATTGAAATAAATGACGTGACTTTGAAGTGCAAGTAGAAACTACAGACAATAAGGTAATATAACCATATAAAGCATGTTTAGACTATTTAAAAGGCTGCTTTTAAATATAAGAGCAATATTCAAATGCGAAGTAAATGGAAAAAAACCTTTTATGGTATTTGTTATCCTTTTAGGCATGTCGCAATCGACGCCATCCTGATTAGTAGCAAATGGTTTACGCCTACAAGCAAGCCTTAAGTAGACGTTCACTAAAAGCTGACCTAAGCCTTATTTCAAGGCCATAACGCCTCCATAAAGTACATTCTCAGTTGAATAGCGCAATTTAACATGCCTTAATAAAATCCGAATGATATTCTGTAGTTATTTATATATAGTATTGAACCGTTGAGTGGTAAAGCGTTGTTTCAATGCACTAAACTAAAGGTCCGTGGTTTAGTCTTTGGCGAAAACATAATTGTATGGCACAGATCGGAATGAGCAATAGATGTTTAAAAAGTGTGTGTAAACGTATTTATATCTCATAGGGAATCACAGTACTATTTTTACTTTACTTACTTTACAATGTCGCAATTTTAAATAGGTAAACATATGTAGGTGGGCGAGCCATGAGCGTTGAGCATTCTACATGGAGAAGTTACGTCTTAGCATTAAAAAAATTATAATTAACAAACATGAATTTTGGTAATCTAGTGGGGATTATAAGAATAATACCCGCGATAGAAAGCAGGAGTCGTATTTTAAAAGCATGTTTCCGTTAAAGTATATCTTTCTTATGCAACTCCTTTTCTTTCCTTTGTACTCAGATATAATTAGTTTATAATAATTATATGTGCTATTCCATATTTGCAAATAATAGTTAATCGACCTTTGTGTATGTGGAAAGATCCAATGTTTAATGAATTGTATATTTATAATCAGCATTATTAGCTACTACTAGTTAGTAC